CCCTGACTTCCATCACCATGTCCATTAGGGGAGTCCCAAGAGCCACAGAGGATGGAATCCTACAAAGGCCTGCAAATGTTTAATGAGGAAAAATGATTTTAAATTCATATTTCAAAAGATTTAAAAACACTCACAGGGTGCCAGACTGCAGCAGAAGTTCTGGTATCCTGTAGCAGGAGGCCCAGCAGGAGACTTCAGTGATGCCGTAGATGTTATAGATAGATGTCTGATTGTCCTTGTGTTTCCAGCTCCTCAGCTGAGCTAGAGAAGGACAGGCCTCTCCACCCAGAGCCAGCACCTGCAGAGAGGATCCGGGCGACAACACGTCCCCTTTCAGAACATGATGACCAAACTGTGTCTGTCAAGTGGTTCACACTTTTTTGTTTGGTATTTAAACTGCAGGTTTCCCCCACTTGAAAAGGCAGCTTGCTTCCAGAGATTTCACAGGATTTCACTCAGAACACCAAAGTTGATTCTTTCCTTTTTTCTCTTTTATTTGAAAGTTCAAACAACAATAGTAGCATTGATATAAGTAGTAGCAGTAATAGTAGGTGAAAAACCTTTAAACATAAACACAGAGAAGCAATGATTAACATCCTAACAAAATTGTTCCTGAAACAAAATATAAGATTTAAACCCAAAATCAAACATATTCAAAGCATTATTCAGTGATACATTTTAACATTCTAGTATTAAATTACTTTCTCAAATACATTTTAAATAATTCCTCTTTTTTTTTTTTTTTTTTACTTTTCTCAATATTTTAACATTTCAATCTAAATATTCAAATAATTTGTGGCTCAGCGGCTCCTTCTCTTTGGAACAAACTTTCCTGCAGTGCATTCACCCAGGCACCCTTATAGTGCTCATTGCTGCTTAGTGAGTGAACATCTCCCAACTGATCCCTTAATTATCTTCACCCGTCTTCAGGTTGGGAGACACTCTCCACTATACTCAGTCAGAGGAGGGCGCGGCATGAATTCAGCTTAACAGTGTTAGCAGGGTGGGCATGGCCTAAAGCACAGGAGATCGAAGGAAACGGTCATCAATGTGGAGTATCACTATCTCTGTAGAAACCATTGCGGCTTGCCTGAAGGACTGTAGTTCTGTGATCTTTGAACAGCAGCTGGGCGAGTCGACCGGGCATCTTCTTGATCACTAGGGAACAAGAGGAGCAGAGCGCCAGAGGACAAGGCCAGAAAGATATCTACCACGGAAGGATCGAAAGTCAAGGGGGAGGCCATGAAAACCACATCGTTCATGCTCATCTGGAACAGAGATCCGAGCAGAGAGGCATTCTGCTTCCTGAGAACACATTAAGAACAAAGATCTTCATCTGAAAACTAAAAACAAAGAGCCAGACTAACCTCAGGTTTAGTATATTGGGGATGATACACATGTGTGGTACCCTGACAGTCTTTGGAGGACCTGTTGTTCCAGATGTGTGTAGCACATAAGCCAAATCTGGGTGGCCTGAATCTGGAACAGATCTCTCCGTGCTCTGAGGTCCATCCTTAAAGGCTGGATGGGGCTCAACGTGCATCAAAGTTAATCTGAACTCTGGCAGCTCTAAACAAACATCCACAGAGAGGTGATCGACCATAATCAATAATAGATCTAATAAGACTTACGTAAATTGTTTTCAGTGCTTGTCTGTTTGCCCCCCATTCATACCCAACTACGCATCTCATTATATTAATTTTTTTTTTTTACATTTTTCAATAACCTTTTCAATATGTATTTTCCAGGTTAATTTTGGGATGCATCTCTATAAATTTTTACATGGTTATAAAAATTATCTATACATTCCTCTGTTATTGCATTGCATATAAATGTTTTATCTTTATGTTTCCTTTCTAGTATAGAAAGGAAACATAAAGAAGCATCAGGCAAAATCCAGGGTGGTGATCCAGCTAATGGAACAGCTGGACTCACGTCTAACTGATTTAATTCTAACTCTGTTGCTGTTTGTAAAATTGACCAATTAAATCATTTATTATTTGCTCTTTCCTTCTCCCAGCAGGGCTGTAAAGTTGACTGCTTTGGATGGTTCAGACTGTGTCGCTCAATATTCACCCAGTAGTTTAATGAAAGCTGCATTCTCAATTCTCAAGTCAATGGCATTTCCCCAACCTCTACCTGTAAGGCAGAAGTTGGGGTCGTCCTAACTGATCCTGTAATTAATCGTAAAGCCTGATTTTGAATAATATCTAATTTTTTGAGAACTGTTTCAGATGCTGATCCATAAACTATACAACCATAATCACTAGTAGATCTAATAAGACTAAAGTAAATTGTTCTCAGTGCTTGTCTATTTGCCCCCCATTCATACCCAACTACGCATCTCATTATATTCAATATTTGTTTACATTTTTCAATAAGCTTTTCAATATGTATTTTCCAGGTACATTTTTCGTCAAACCACACCCCTAAAAACTTAAATTGTTTAACTCTTTCTAGTTCCTGATTATATATATCTTTAATTTGATCTCCTGATTAATTTTACTTGTAAATAATATTATTACTTTTGTTGTTTTAGCTGAGAATATAAAACCCCATTTATGAGACCACTTTTCTATTTTGTAAATTGCTTGTTGTACTTTTCCAACAATATATTTAATATTCTTTCCACGTTCCCAAATAGCTCCATCGTCTGCAAAAAGTGAACACACCATAAAAGTTTCTATTTCTTTAAATAGATCATTTATCATAATAGAAAATAATAAAGGACTAATTATGCTGCCTTGCGGAGTACCATTTTCTATCCAATACTACCCTGAATATTGCATACCAACACTTACTTTTATTGCCCTATCTGTTAAAAAGTTGTTTATCCAGTTTTAAATTCTACCACAAATTCCCATTTTCCTCAATTTAATTATTAATCCTTCTCTCCACATCATATGCCTTTTCTATATCTACAAAGTTAATCAATACAGTTTTTAAATACCCACTGAGTTTGTTAATCGTTATATAACATTTGGTCATTTCCTGGAGTTGATGTCTTAACTCTCTTCAAGGCTCTTTAACTCCACTATCGAAAAAGGTAAATTAATTACATTGTTGTCTTCCTCTTGATTCATTTCCTCTTTCTCTAATAAAGCTTTTCCTCTTCCCTTCCTCCACTCTTCTCCAATATTATTTGAACTATGTATTTTAGTAAATGTTTCTGCCAACAACATTGCTTTTTCTTCATCGGTGATTGCTGTGGTTTACTCATTAACTGAAACAGGGTATCCATAATCTCTTCTTATGCCATTCATTCATTTGATCATTTTCCAAACTTTTCCTATTTCCGTTTCTCTTCCTAATGTATTGCAAAATTTTCTACAATAGTCTTTTTTGTATTTTTTATGACCTTTCTTACCAAGGCATGTTTCTTTTTATAATCAGTAAGATTCAGGAAATTATGGTTTCTTTTCAAACTTTATTTCTAGATTTGATAACCTGATCACATTCTGGTGTCCACCATGGTACAATCTTCAATTCAATTCAATATCAGTTTATTTATATAGCGCCAATTTCACAACACATGTCATCTCAAGGCACTTTACAGTTCAACAAGATCATACAGTAAAATTGATTCAAAGTTTTCTATCTAAGGACCAGTTGATTGTATTGACTCATTGACTCGAAAAAAATCCCTCACACTAAGCATGCGAGTATGCAACAGTGGAGAGGAAAAACTCCCTTTTAACAGGAAGAAACCTTCAGCAGAACCATGCTCAGTGTGAGCGGCCATCTGCTGAGGCCGACTGGGGTTCAAGTAGACAGAAGCAGAGACACAAAAAGCAGCTGTAAAAGCCCCCAGCCAGGCAGACGAGCTCCGAGCCAGCTCCCATGTCAGAGGATGAAGAGAGCACATTCAGCCAGTCATGGTCAGAGAAACAGGACTACACTGGAAAACAGGCCGATCTCCAGCATCTATAAACAAGGGTGTTGATGGCAGCAGTGTCGTGGCTTTCAATGGTAGAATGTCAAAAATCAGGACACCTTCAGTCGATCATTAATCGATTTAGAACTGTATGAATCAAAATCGAATTTGGAATTTGGCGAAAATACCAAGCCCTATTCCTCATCCCTAGAAAATGTTCAGCTCCTTTTACAATGATCTTGATTTTTCCGTTTTCTGTTTGACCTGGTCCGTACAATGAATTGCATACTGTATGTAATGAATAAAATCAGTTTATCGAAATCTATCAAGTTACTGATTCCCCCATGCTGTTCTTGCTCTTTCCTCAGTATTTGTATGTCTCCCGTGGGTTTTTTATGTTGTTCCTGAACCTTCTTTACTGCTTCAGCATATAATAAGTTGTTTGTTGATTTAACATTTTGAACCTCAACTGCCCCTTTCCTGACCACACACCCTCCATAAGTTGCCCTGTGTTGCTCACCACAATTACAGCATTTTTCCTCTGCTCCCTCAGTACAATCCTGAACTTTGTGCTCCCCTCCACATTTTAAACATTTCTGTTTGCCCCTACACACTGCAGCAATGTGTCCGTACTTCTGACACTTAAAGCATCGAAGTGGGAGAGGAACATAGGGCCTAACTGGATAACTCATATATCCTATCTTCACTTTGTCAGGAACCTCTGAAGTAGAAAATTCCAGAAGACCAGGAAGACGTTCAACTCTCTCATTTATTGTTTTCTGTAACCTCTTGATCCTGCTAACTTCAAAATTTCGAATATTACATTTAAATTTTTCAAGGTCTTCGTTTAGTGGAATTCCATAAATAACTCCTCTAGAACCTTTATTTTCTCCTACAATTCTTCTATTTTCCACTCTCTTCTTGCAAATGGTTTCAATGAACATAACTTTCCTTTTTTGTTCCTCTGATTTACAAACAATTATTTTTAATAATTGGTTAGAAGCTACATGTCTCTTTATAGCTAAAAGAAAATATTAATTAAGTTCTAATCGAGGTAAACTAACGAGACTAAACAACAACAAGTAGATGTAAAGTATAATTCTAATCTAAATATAATTCTAGTAGCTGTTTTTCAAAAATAACTTGGCAAGAAAAAAAAGCTAATTCAACATCAAATTCCTGCTATATTTAAATGTAGAAAATAATTAATAAAGTCAAGTAAATTTTAAACAACATATTATATTGGGAAGTTTAAAGATCTGTTCACTCCAGAGAGCAAACTTGTAATATTTAATGATTAAGAAAAATTTTCATTATTCATCAACAACTCGGCTATTGTTTTTTGATCATTTTCTGGAGTTGACTTGTTTAAATAAAAGGTAGTAATTCAGTAAGGAACTAGTGATGCAGTTGACGTGGATCGGAAAGAATTACTATCACCAATGAAATCAAAATTAGGTTTTATTTAAGTAATTACAATCTTAATAGATTTATTGACATTAATAATAAAAAAAATGGTGACCATGATTGGACGCTTTATCAAATCCGACTTGTTTTATATTTTTTATATTTTTCCTTTGGTAGAACAGCACTGTGATATTGCACCAGACACCAGTAGGTGGCGGTAATACACATTCCCGCTGTTTCCCGACCCCCCTAAATTTAAATGAGAAGGATGAAGAAGAACTTCAAACTTAGAGCCCCTTTTTACGCTGTTGGTCGAAACTTTTTCTATTTTAGGCCCTTCCATATTGTTAAATCGCGGGATGGAACTGAATTTCCTTAAACACTTAAATGATAATACAGCCGAGTTTAAGAGGACTCTGGATAGAATCGTCGACAAGGTCTGTTTGCGGCAACAGTTCTGTCTTTTATACAGCATACTGCTGTTAAAGTGTTGTACACATAATGTATGCTAATATTTATATATATTTTAAACAGTATTCAAAACTTAACGATGAAGACGAGGCGATAGATGTGGACATCAGCAAAATAACAACAAAGAGTGAGTATGACTATGTTTTCGATTTAAAAAGGGTTACCTTCGTCGCCATCTGCTGTCGTGTTGCTGCTGTTGCTGATAGACCGTTGGTAGTACGTGCTGGCATAGAGTGCTGGAGTGAAGCCGCCATATTGGTACTCCTAGTTAGACCGCTGGCAATGTTAACAACACATGCGCTACAGCATCAAACAACGATGATGTTCTCATTTTCAGGGGGCCTTAAGACTTTTAAATAAAGATAAATTCATCACTTGGACACACACTTGCTGTTTCATAGCATTAGTAGATTACTGTAATTTATGATAAAAACAAACATTGGCACATGCCATTGCTTATTTGTAATGAAGTCGGTTAAGTCTATAAATCATTTAATATGACTTTTTATACAAACCCATCACAGCATAATAATACAGATGTGCCCAAAGTGTTAAATTGATATACATGTATTGATGACATTGTTGTAATTACATATAATTTCAAGAGTTCACATCAAGACTGAATTACAAGTACATGTCTGTTAATCTATAGTGTTTTCCTTTTTGCGTGATGCTATATACTCTTATGCTGTCTTTGTACATTAGCCTTCAAAATGTTTGAGTAGCTTTTTTTCGTCAATATAACATGCAATATATTGCAGTACATTACTTTTTTAAATGAGAAATACAACAAACACTACAAAAACGACAGCATCATCCACTTAATAAAGAATTACTACATTGACATTTTACAGTGAATTACTTTCCATTTACTTTTTATTTTCTAACATTAGACACAATGTCAAAAGCTAACTTAGTCAATGTCTTCGAGTCAGTCCCAGATAGTCAGACTAATGTTACGATACATACTATACCAGGCATCCCCTAAGTCGGTCCTCAAGGGCCGCTGTCCTGCCGCTTTTAGAGGTTTCTCTGCTTTAGCACAGCTGATTATGATGATTGAAGTTCAGCAAAAGCCTTTTAATCAACTATCAATGTAAATCAGCTGTGCTGGAGCAGCAAAACCTCTAAAACCTGCAGGACAGCATCCCTCCATGACTGACTTTGGGGATGCCTGTACTATACTATAGGAAACATTGGCGTGTAGTATATGGATTTTCTTGGTACACTAAAGTTACCTTCGATAGATTTGGACAGATTTGTCATTTTGTATACACAAGTGTAAAACAAAAAGAAATTTTGTTAAAAACAGCTCTCTAGACAATTTCATTTTTTTAAAAACAGTAAAAAATATTTAAAAACAGTCATAAACATATGACTTTATATTTAAAGGTCTAACATTTTAGTTTTTTTTGTTCTGTTTTTTTTCTTTACCTTTAAAAACATCTTCCTACAACTGGCAAACTGCTTGTTTTTGCAGCATTTTTATGTCTCTGTGGGGGGGTACCAATATGGCAGCCAATGGCTCCACTTTGTGTGGGCTATCAGTAACTCGGTGAATAGAGATCAGTGTTTGCACCCCAGCTAAAACATTCTTCTTCTTTTCTATAATGGCGGATCGCAATAAACTTTTAGGTGCATACCGCCAGCAACTGTACATGAGTGTGTAGCGACACTATTTTACATTTATCAAATTCTATTTATTTTCTTTCTGAAGATAAATAATGTTTTCCTTAATCTGTAAATATACTTTATATTTCCTTAATTTCCCTTAAAAGGGAACACTTTTTTTTTTCTTTGTACATTGGCCCCTTGATTTTACGTTATAACATCATGTTCTAGTCACCCATATTAGTTTTGTGTCATTTGAAGCTGTTCCTAAGATATTTGGTTTTGTAGTATATGGGCAACAAGTTAAAGGCACAAACTAAACTGTTCATAATTTATCATTTATGGTACGCCAGCATTCATAACATGCAGGCTAATCACTGTCCCCCAGACATCCGCAGGTTATATTTTTTATATATATATGACGTCACCTTTTTCCTTTCATTCCAACCATTATTCTTGATTTTTCCCTTTCATGTTCATAAGTTTTATAGTTCCTCAATTTGTGTTCTTCATTCTCTTTCTTCACATTTATCGTTATTTTTCCTCCATATTAAATATAAATTGTCTTTTAAATAGGTATTACACTCTCTTAATCTAATTATTCATTGTTAGTTCTTCCCTTCTGTTTCTATCATTAATATTTCTCTTTAATACTGACTTTTGTACTTTATATAATCTTCGTCCTTTCTTTTCTTCATTTCACATTTTTTTTTGCCATTTTTCAATTTCTTTACTTTTAACAAGTAATTTCCCTTGCCCTAAAGGAATTGTAACCACTATTGTCCCCTCTAAAGCCCTTTTTGCTGATTTATCTGCCTTTTTTATTGCCTTTTCCACCTTCATGTGCTGGCGCCTAACATATACCCTTATATAATCTAAACAGACTGTGCTGAATTTCTAATACTAAACCTTTTCTATTATTTCCTTCTTTCTGAATACTTTCTAAACTGCTTTGGAATCTGTACAGGCCACCACCCTGTCTTGTCTAACTTCCTCTACCCATTATAAGCTTAGTATAACTGCCACCATTTCTGCTTTGAAAACAGATTGTTGGTCTGATTTTTTTTAGAAATGTATATTTTAAACTAGATATTTAAATTCTGCTACCCTTTCCAACGGATGTCCATATAATGTAATTGTTCCTATATCTATATTTCTCTTTTTCCCCGTCTATGAATGTCTGTAAGATGTTCTTCATTAGGCAGAAAATGTCGCACCTAATAAATCTGCCTTATCTTTACTTAAAGACATCTCCTGACCTCCATCTAAGGCTGGTATTCTAACATCATTCCTTTTGCCCGTCCTTTTCCTAAATTCTGTCATTTTATTTCTGAACCTATTGGGAAACAATTTTCTCTCTATTTTCTTTTTTGCTTCCTTAATAGTTTTACGAACCATTGCTCTTTTCGTTTTCTATTAAATACGGTTTTTGTTTCTTAAATTTTTCTGCATTATTTTGAATACGATCTTTAACTACTCTATTACATTCCTCATCCTACCAAGGAACTACTTTTTTTTCTTTTACTTTTATGTTTGGTATGCTAGAACGTGCAGCATTTAAAAGGGGAATGCAGTTTTTTTTTTTACATTGGGCCCTTGATTTTACGTCATTATGTCATGTTCTACTCACCCATATGAGTTTTGTGTCATTTGGAGCCGTTCTGAAGATATTCGGTTAGGTTATATCCAAGTAATGTCTTTCTATGGGCAATGACTTGAAGGCACAAACTAAACTGTTCATCATTTATTCTTTATGGCACGCCAGCATTCATAATATGTAGGCGAATCACTGTCCTCCAGACATCCGCAGTTATATTTTTTTATATTTATATGTTTTAAAAACAAATCGACGCGTGTATGATGTCATCCTGAAATGACTCCTCTCGACCTTTCTAAAGATCCTGGAATGTACCGTATTTTCACGACCATAAGGCGCACCGTACTAAAAGGCGCAGTCTCAGTTTTGTGTGCCATTTCTGTGTTTAACATACACATAAGCGCACCGGATTATAGGGCACGTTTTTTATATACAGGTACATGTCCTCTACCACTTTTAAATACCTCTACTGCGTATTTAAAAATAGAGCGGGAGCAAAACTGAGTATGACTGTGCTTTATTCATGTATTTATTACGAAGTATTATTCAAACCTGGGAGCTGGCCGCGAGACAGACACATCGCTGATGACACAGGGCTGTGATCACTCCTCTGAAACAGTTTATTGACGCATAAATTAACCTAAAATCCTGAAACCTGCCGACAGAATATGTTTGCTTTTATCATCCTGCTCCCTGCAGTTTAGATTATTTAGATGAAAAACACCTACCAGCTGCCGCGGTGAATCCCGGAGGCTACCCAGCCCAGAGGCTGCTGTTTAATTAAGTTTTCAGGTAGAAAAATAGAGCTGGAGCAAAACTGAGTATGATTGTGCTTTATTCAAGTATTTATTACAAAGTATTAATCCAACCCATCGAAGTCATCATCCTCTGTTTCTGAATTAAACAGCTGCGCTAAATCAGACATGCCAGTTTCCCCTTCTTCGCTGTCAGAGTCACTTTCCATGCCGGGCGGCTCCTCGGATATGATGCCGGCTTTTGCAAAAAGCTCACACAACAGTGCCAGCAGACACGTTAGTCCAAGCATCAACAATCCATCCGCAAACGGTGGCGTAACTTGCCCGGCGCTGCCTTCCACTTTTCGTGAAACTGTGGTCTCCGTCTTATCCATCGCTCCCACGCCGCTCGCAGCCTTACTTTGAACGGCCGGTTCACACCGATGTCGAGCGGTTGAAATTCCTTTGTCAGACCCCCGGGATAACGGCGAGCACAGCCTTCATTTGTTTCACCTTTTTTTCACATCGGCTGTGAGATGGGCACGCATGGAGTCACAGATTAACAGCGATGGTGAAAAAAACACCTGGTCTCCTCACGCTTTCTTCATCTCCTCATCCATCCAGCCCTTTTCATTTGCCTTAATATCATATGTCATCAGAGCGGTGTCTGTCTCAAGGCCAGCTCCCAGGTTTGATTAATACTTTGTATTAAATACACCTTGCAGCTATATTTGCTGTGATCAGTCGGAATAAGGTCTTTTTAATATGTTTTTAAGTGGGAAAATCCACCTGAAAACTGGATAATAAAAGCAAACATATTCTGTTGGCAGGTTAAGTTAAGTAGGCGTCAATAAACTGTTTCAGAGGAGCGATCACAGCGCTTTGTATATGTGTATCATCAGCGATGTGTCTGTCTCGCTGTCAGCTCCCAGATCAGCTTCTCTGATTGGTTGATGAGATGGGCACGCATGGACTCCCAGATTAACAGCAATGGTGATGAGTGAAAAAAAACCCACCTGGTCTTCTTACATTCACCTCCCTCAGCCACTCTTTCATCATCTTCTCAATGAGGTGGTCTCAAAAGTCCGCAGTAACAACACACATAGGGCGCACCGCACCAAAGGGCGCGCCGCACATTTTGAGGAGAAAAAAAGACGTTTATATGCGCCTTATAGTCGTGAAATATGGTATGTTTTAGTTCTTTGCCCCATCAGGGTTTTTATTTTGATTATCTTCTGTTGTTGTGATTCACTGACAGCATGTATTAGCACTCTTCTGTTTTGATTTTCTCTATGAATATATATCGCCCCTCTTGCTTGAATTCCACCATGATTTTAAATTCTACTTCTATGGTAGTCATCCTGCTCTCTTGAACTCACTCGTTTGTTTTTCCTTTTGCAAACTTCTGCTCTTCCCTCACTTTCTTCCCACTAAACTGTTGTCCTTTCTTGTCTCTTCCTAAGTGCTCTTTTCATTTGTGATGATGTTGATATCATCCATTCCTTCTCATTTCCAATATTTCTTCCTGATGTAGAAAGCCATGTTGCTATAGTCGATGTACAGCTTATGCGATCCATCAAAATCAAATCAAATCCTACCGACTTCTTTTGTTTGCCACGTTAACTCGCTTCTCCTTCTACCTTCCACATCCCGCTCATACCTGCCCCAGATAAAACATAACTCACTTTCTCCATTTTAAATTCATTGACCTTTAACTATTGCAAACATTTAATTGCTGACAAAATAAGTTATTTTGTGGATCACATATTTAAAATTAATGTGTTTCTTTTTTATTTCATTTCACAGCTCTTGTATCGTACGTGGGACGTTCCAACAAGTTTCTAAAGTCAAAGGTTTGTGATTGATTTAGTCATAAAATGCATATGTGCTGTCTTTTGAAATTTATATATATTATATCAGAGACCTACATGTATTCTCTCCTTAGACCCAGCCAGATCTAGAGGATCAATCCTTAAACTGTAAGTTTACATAATATCTTAATAAAACTATTAAAGATTTACTTTTTTGGGTGCTGGTCTGTCTTAAACCATGTCTATATTTCTTTGTAGCAGATACATCTTCAAACTCTGAGGTAAAACATATTTGTAAATATCTGACAATCATGCTAAGAATATCTTTAATAGTAATAACAGAGTGTGCTTTTCTTAATAGTTACATTTTCCCCATGATGATGATGAATCGGAAAACCAAAGTGTCTACAGCACGGAACTTCCTGAGGACAATGGCGGTAAGGATGGCGGTTAGGATACAGAAAGTTCTTATTATTGAATTTAAGAAGGAAAAAAAATGTCACTCTTATACTAATGAATAAATTCACATATTTAGGGGACAGATTTAGCTATTGGTGTTGAATTGTGCACATCTGGCTTTCATATAGGAAATTAGAGAAGAAAGCTGATTATAAATCCAGCAGATGTCCTGTTTTTACTTTCCCCTGTTCTATGTAACACTCAAAGCAAACATTTGGAAGAAGTGCCCTAGTTGGATCAGGCCAGAACTGAACAGTAGTAATCATTGCCTCAAATGTATTAAGAAGCTTTTTTTTTTATGGTTTATCCAATGTTTTAGGAGAAGCTAATTCATGAACCTGTGGGTTATTAATTGTGGGGTTATTCAGTTTGTTGTTAATAGCAGAAATTGCGTTTGTTAGGATCTAAAACACTCAGTTTTTAACCGAGCCAAGCTGGTTAAGACTTTCAGCTTTATTTGGAAAGAGATTGTTCTTTGGGGCGAAACGTATGAGTTGTAAGTCATGTGGGAGTTTCCACTCAATAATCATGCAGAACTTTTTATTAGTTCTGCTCTATTGGATAAAATCCCCTTACTACATTGGAGTTTTTGCATGTAATTTGACAGACCAGGAACCATTTTGAGAGGTGTGAATAGTTTTGTTAAGTACTGTGAAGATCTGATGTAGATATTTGTTGTCTGTGATAATATCCAGCAGATAAGGCAATGCGCTTGTTGGATGAAAGCTGCTGGAATTGGTCAGAGAACGAGCCCCAGCCACCGGACCAGGATGGAGATGTGAGTAGCCAGAGCTACTCCCTGGCTGAGCTCTACCCAACGATGGTCAGTCGGATAAGAAGAGCCTGGCATCGGCAGGCTGTCTCTGTGGCCGCCGGCTCTGTGGTGAGGAGGTACCGCAGATGGAGGCAGAGGCCTAAAGGAATCCTGAACAGCACATTTGACCTCACAGCAAGACCAGCTTATGATGGTACAAAAGTCTCAAGCAGTAAGAGGCTGGTCAGAGAGGGATCAGGCAGCCTTTCAAAGAGTATGGGGATTGAAACAATGCCTCATCCTATCCTATCAACTGTGACGACCCTGAGTCCCAGACGGCAGTTTCCTGGAAGGAAGAGAAGATTGTCGATTGGAGAGACCTTGCATCCCTGCAGCGTAATGAGCATGTCTGACAAAGCCAACCCAACACAGGTTTCATTGAATGAGACTTTCTTTGTGCTTGAGCAGAGCCCCCCATGCAAAAAGTCCCACTTTGAGGAGCAAATTCCCATCAATGCTGCCACTCCTTCAAAGTGCCACTGCTCTGATGCTGAATCATCCATGGATCAGTTCTTCAAGAGAAAAGGGCTATCTGGTTCTTCACAGTCAGCGTATGTTTCAACCTACGTAGCAGAAGCTCCCTCTGTGCCTTACATTTACAGCTCCCAAGACAGGCAGAGTCCTTTTAAGGCAAGCAGAATGGGAACCCTCAGTAGGTCACCTCATGCATTTTCCAGAAGCCCCAATGGTTATGGTTCGACAGAGCCTATGACATCTAGATCACCAGCCATCCTTATGCCTTCTCCTCCAAAGAGGTCTGCTGGGCTTCATTACCCCCATGACTCCAGTCAGTCACCCAAGTCGCTGCCCCATTCTCATCTGTCAGCCCAGCGAGCAGAGAGCCACCGGGGTTTCAGACAGCACCTCTCCTTCGACTCCTCCCTGTCACGCCCCTTCTCTATGTCACCAAAGCAAGTGGATGAGGATTTCAAAAAGCTTTACCACAAGTTTGTGTGCTGCAATGAATCCAATGCCTTCAACGCCCCTCCTTGTCGATTGTGTGGAAGGAGCTCTGAGGCCAGAAGGGTCCTCTCCCCCCTGTCTTTGGCAACCCCTGCCTTGTCACCCCACCGCTCCAACCTGAGTAAGTGGTACATGGAGGAGAGTGAGGAAAGCCACCCACAGTCCAAACGCCTCAGGGAGGATACCTTTACCTACTCCCCGGGGTCGAAAAAGCAAAGCAACGAGACGCTGAGACGGCGTCGCCTATCTCGGTCTGAGGCGGGGCCATCTTTCTGTACAGCCCCTAACAGCGTCAGTGAGACTCAGCAACCCGCAGAAAATGTGGAGGAATGGCTGATCAAACACCAGCCTTTCTTTGCAGGTGAGCCCCAGCTGGAATCCAGCTGATCATACAGACCTTTGTTTGGTTATACAGGTACATTGCAATTACTCAGAGCATCGTTAAACAGTTCATTCATTTCTGTTAGCCTTTAATTATTATAGCTTGCAGCCAATGAAAGATTTTATATTTAGAATACAGATGTAGACTTATAGATTTTTAACTCAAATAAAGTTATGACCTACAGAACTGCAAACATACAAGGTAATTGCTACTGACCCCAGCTTCAAGCACATTCACTGAAATGTAAGTGGAAGGTAAAGGTATTTATAAAAACTGGAGTTTTTAGAAGATTTTGAAGGAAACTAGTCCAGACTGCATTGAGTTCGGTGCTAATAAAGCAACCTCACACATATTTAGTAGTGACTATAAAGTGACATTCCTTTATAGGCCACTGTAGAACTAACCCTGTCAGAGTTGGCTGGGCTAAAACGAAACCCTTGCTCAGTTAACCAAGGTCCGTCGCTCACTTGAAAGGTTTGCATTTCATCTGGAGGTCAAGGTCACAGTCTGGAGTAAAGATGGGAGGTGTGGTATACATGTTGCTTGAAATTTTGGCAGCTATTAGTGGTGCCACATAATCTCCTGAAGGCTGATTTATACTTTGAAACCAGGTCCTCTGCGTAGTTGTCGCAGTGAACAAAAAGCCGTCCCGGGCCCCTCCGGTGCACCTCTCGGAAATTGTAACTGACCGCAGACCGCCAGACAGGAGGCCGGCTTGTTGTTTTTATGACCGAGATTGCAGAAAACAACTCGTCAAGTTCGACCAGCTAGAAGTCATGTCCCTCCGTTGTCAGACTAAACTCTCCCCCACTTCCTCATTGCCTCGGCCGTATCTAGACCTACAGTGTATAGCAAAAACCACGCTTTAATATTGAGCATAAATCAAAAATCACTGCGACACACTGCTGCAGGACTATAACCAGCCCTTGACGCTTGGCTGAGTGTTTTCTGAAGCTCAAAGCCAGTACAGCCCCTACTTTACGGGGATGCTGACAATCTTTTCCAGCAAGTGTTGGTACCTGCCCTCACTACTAAAGGTACTGAACGCTTGTTCAATAACCTAGGTGTTACTGGTCTTGAGGGGCCTGACATGAGAAAATCTGAAGTACTGCCAAGAGCAAGCTGAGGCACCAGAACCAGCCAACCCAGGCTTCCTCAACACCTCAGCAAAGCCACAGGGAGATCTCCTCCATGGCACTATCCCTTGATGCAGTGAATCATTGAATAGGGAACACTAGCTATTGAGTTCCTAAACCATCGACTTCAGTAGGCCCTTCTCAGAAAATTAGACATAATCCCAACTTTAGAGCACTTCTGTTGTTCTAATTAAGAGAAACTCAATGTCGGATTTTCATGCACTGTAAGCAACAGACATAAAAACATGTCCTGCACTGATAAACCTGAGATCCACCAATGTGCTTAAATCATATTTTAATGTTAACAGGATGTTCACTTCAAAATGAAAATTTCAAAGGCTGCTCTGGTGATTTAAGTCCTCTGCAAGTATTTCCACTTCCCCTGACTTCAGTATGGTTGTTTTTCTTTCCCAACAGCCAAAGCCTACAGATGAACCAGGACTCATCTGCAGATGTTGACCTACCCTACCTGCTCATGGATCGTTTTTCCAAGATCTAATCTAAGTTTTTTAATGCATCCTTTTTTTTTTTTTTTTGTCAAAAAACACCTTAATTTCTTTGTACAATGGTTACATTTCATTTATTAAAGTTGAAAGGGTTAAAAATATATTGGCAAAACAAAGGTTTCTTTTTTTTGGTCTCAACTCTTTTGTGTGTCTTAACATTTTAATGTTGTTTGGAAATACTTGGATTACACAGAAAAGTATACATTTTTGTAAATACATTTGATTTATACACATACAAAAGAAACAATTATACATAAAGGTTATTGATGAGTTCAAAGTAATCACAGTATCCAGCAATAACGGGAAAAAAAGCTCTAAAGTTCAACTGTAAGTATAAAGTTGTGAGCAGAGTCCCTCCATTGTGCTGTCCCAGTTACCATTCCAATTCCACTGGATATTTCCCAGTGAGACAGGCAGTGCAGTGGCCTACTCCGTTTTTCCCGGAGCCAAATTTCTCGTTCTCCTTGAAGGAGGCAATTCCCTCCTGGACGGCAGATAGGAGTCCCTCCACGGTTAAATACTCAACGCTGTCAGCACCTACACGGCAGGAGGAGGAGAAGCAAAGACAGGCATTTAAACCATTACAGTGAGATGTACGTGGGAAAACTGCATGCTGTACAGTTAGCCTTACCGATATAACCAGCAATGTCTTTGAACTCTGGCTTGTTGGCAATAAGCTCCTCTTTAGTTGGAATATTGATACCCATGTAGCAGGGGAACTTGATAGGCGGAGACGCCACCCTGATATGGACCTAAAAGCAGATGTTTATATCACTTTTTAAGATGGAGGCAGGAATTGCTGTGAAACATTAGAAGAGCTATCCAGACAGAAGGTGATTTTTTTCTCAAAATATAAGCAGCTCCCATCAATAACTTATTGGTTTTGTCTATGACATATAATTCAGCCTGCATGTTATTTCTAGTTTTTACATTTGATAATTAACGTAGCAGGTTATGTCTATCAAATCTGAAAATCCTTCAAGAGTTGTGTTGTAAAGTTGGGAAACCCAGCATTCAAACTGCGTTATATTTAATATGTTTAAATAAAAAAAAAAATGTAACTAATTATCTCACAATGGAGAAATGAACTCTGTATGTATCATGCAGAAGGCCACCACTCCCATAAGATCAGAAACTTCTTTAGAGATCGGCCCTCAAAGTTTATTTTTAATTCATCAGTCTAACCAACCCCTGATGTGCCGTCAACTTCTAAGGAGTTGATTACAATAATAAAGAAAAACAATAATATATGGCAAACTGATGGAAGTGCAGTGCATGTGCCTTACATGATCTCAAGGTATGCCCTTGGATTGTGTTAATACATCTGAAAATATGCTGATAGTGTTGCATGAAAAAGACCTGCAAATATTGTCCAAAAGATTTCTGTCTAGCTCTTATTGTGAAAGGGTTTAAGTCTAGTTGTCTCAGTTAATCTGCTGCATCATGCTATTCGGCAAATAAATCAGTCGGCTATCTGAGTTTTGAGGTTATACTGAGTGTCTATACTGTGTAAACTCAACTATGATCGAAACAATCTGATTAATCAATTCTTAAAATAATCAAGTATTTTAATAAGGATAATTTGTTAGAGACACTAAAACATGCCTTTAGTTGACAGAGCGACCCACTTAGAGCAGTAATTATGCCAAAATTGCACAAAAAAAAACAAATATTTTGTATTTAAGATTTAATTTTTTTTATTATTGTTAATATGCTATACCCAGAACTCCACTGGGTTGGTTGCTTGACTACTCTCAACCCGGCCCTCTTCAGGATTATAACCTTAAAAAAAACCCCTGAATTTTAGGCCTTTTTTTTCTTTTATATAAAAAACATATATATATACATATATATATACACACACAGTCTGCACCATCAACACCAAGTCAAATTCCTTGTAAGTGCAAACCAATTGGCAATAAACCTGATTCTGATTTGTTGCTTCTTCTGTTTGTTTGTTTTTTTGTTGTTGTGGGAAATAACTGTGTTCATCTTTTTTTCTGTGCTTTAGCTCTGGATACGGAAGTTTGGCATCATTTTTATTTGCCTTTATTAACCCATGGCAAACCAGGAAAGCTTGTGCTTAAGGGAAGAAAACTATCAGGAGAGATTCAAAGTAACACTCATAACCTCTGGGAGGAAAAATGGTTATTATGGTTTTTTCAGGGAATAAAAACTGTTCTTACCTGTTATTCACATACTAAATGTCTTTGTCATGCAAAAGTTTATATTCAAAAAGGTTTTTCTTGAAAATAAGAATTTCAGAGGCTGGCGAAAACCTGATAAAGTTCATAAAGCTAATTGGTATAAACAAGAGATAAAAAGCTTGAATCATAGCAGAGCTATTTTTCCTGTAATTTCTATCCTCAAAATGAGGAGCCCAATATAACCCAGAGACTAGATCACATCTCAGCAGGCGCTTCAACTGAAGGAAACCCACCTCTGTTGCTCCCGCTTCCCGCAGCAGCTTAATAATGGGGGAGATGGTGTTGCCTCTGACAATGGAGTCATCAATAAGCACCACCCGTTTCCCTGCAAAGTTGTCAGTCAGCACCCCAAACTTCTTGGCGACCCCAAGCTGCCTCAGACGGGTATTTGGTTGAATAAATGTTCTTCCAACATAGCGGTTCTTGCATAGAACCTCCATGTATGGGAGGCCAGCCTGAGAGAAGGACAACAGCTGTGATTGGCAGGCTGGGTAGCCGATGTGTCTCTTGGCAGACAGGAGGACTTACCTGCAGAGCGTAGCCTAGAGCAGCAGGGGTCGCAGACTCTGGCACTGTGCTGACCAGATCCACATCTGTTGGAGCCTCTATGGCTAACTGCCGACCACAGCGCTGCCTCACACTGTACACCATCTGCCCTGGAGCACATTTACGTTCATTTTTTACTACAGTGAAGCCTCATGGTTAAAATTCAATTAAAGGGATCTGAAATATGCAATAATATTTATACCTTCAAAAATGGAGTCTGGTCTGGCAAAATAAACGTATTCAAAGATGCAGAAAGCAGGCAGGTCTCCTTCAGGGCGGGGAACAACACTCAGAGACTTGACTCCATGCCTGGATAGCTGAACTATTTCCCCTGGTAAGACCTCTCTGTAATATCTACGGTGGATGTGATAACGTTAGACACGCAAAGCATTACAGGTTAGTTTTAAAGAAAACACCAAAAAGTTTTACTTTGCTCCGATGGACTGGAAGCTGCAGGACTCTGAGGACACAACCCAACCTTCAGTGTCCTCCTCCTCTGCACCTAATCAGGGAACAGAGATCCCAGTTAATTATCCACCAGCAGCTATCTGATCTGTGACCTTAAAGAGCCAGTTCTTCTGAGCACTTGTGAAACTTCATCTTTCTCAGAAAGTTAGTTTGTTCAAACCATAGAGAAAATAAATAAAAAGCATCTCAACTTGTTCTGATCAGATGTTTTCCCGCATCAGAAATCTAAACTACCAGAACAGGTCAGAGTTTTCTTCAGCTGCAGTCCTTCACTTTTCACAATCATGGTCCTCCAGATCTGCTGTGATAGATGCAACCCTGCTCTAACTAGGGCTGGGTATTGTTCAAAAATTTTCGGTGCTGCTACCAATACCGATAATTTCACTTCGATACCGGTTCCTGAACGATACTTTTTTTGATACCAGTTTTATAATATCAATTCGAAGAAAAAGAAAATTACACAACATAAAAAAGTACAAATCTTGAGTTTTATCTTAAGTTCTGATTTTTCCATTTACATTTTTCCTTACACAAAAAAAAAATTTCAGTGTCTAATATTTTCTCCTGCGAAAGCAGACATTAACAAGTCTGCTTTCTCAGGAGACAAACAAGCCCGTTGAATGGGATCCTACTGACAGCGAACCGCTGGTATGTGGGGGTCTGAGCGGCTCAGACTGAAATATTGGAAGGCAGGATGAACTGACTGAACTGATTAAGTTTTCAGGCGGATTTTCCCAGTTAAAAACATAATAAAACTACTTTATTCCCACTGATCACAGCACATATAGCTGTAGGGCAAAGAAAGGATAGAGTAGGTCCGCCCAACGTGCGTCAGAGCCACTTTTCGACCGCGCAGCCAGAGCAGCAAAGCTGCGCGTCAGAAACTGGTACAAGCAGCAAAAAGGAAGCAGCAGACGCGATTTTGCTGCTCTTGCTGCGTCCTGTGTGAAAGCAGCATGATTCACTCCGCTCTGGCTTTGCACAGCCAACGGGCTGCTGAGAGGAGGATGGTAACGCCGGCTGCGGTCCGCTCTTCTTGCAGTCAAACACGGAGCAACTTTCTGCGCTTAAATTGTTTCCGTGCACTATTAGCATCAGTGTTAATGAAGTGAAGCCACACTTTTGACCTGGGGGGGCATTTTAAAGGGGTTCCACGACGCTCGCAACCAGTTCACAACAGATACACATGAACCCTGGCTGTAGGCCTGACCACCTGTGTATTTTTCCTGGATGACGCAATCACGTTAAGTGTTACAGCCAATCACCGAAACTTGGTAACGAAAGACGAGGCATGTTTCGATACTCTGTAGAACCGAAGCATTTCGGTCGGTACCATAAAAGAACCAAAGTTCGGTACCCAGCCCTAGCTCTAACACACCTGAATTACCACTTTAGCATGCCATTAAGTTTGGCAAAGGTCTATTAACGAACCAGTCATTTCATTCAGATATGTTGGAGCAGGTATGCGTCTATAACCTGCAGCACAATAGATCATGCATGGCTGGAAACCCCTGATCTACAATGTTCCATATGAGTGCAAACAAACAGAAAGAACTGTTTAAATACCTGGACTGTGGAGCCTGGAGATGGGAACAAGCTTTCCGATGCAGAGGGGCCGGTTCCCATAAGGATCTCGCACTGCGTAGATGACATCTTTGAACATGACCAGCAGTGAGTATGAGGTGGTCGTTTCCGACATGAGGTTTTTAATTCTGTCATCAAAGACATCACATTTAAGACAGGAGATCATGTCAAAAGGGTGTAAGTACATTTGGCCAGCATCCTGAGTTAGTAGTTACCTAGCAACCCAGTCAGGTGTGTCCAGCTCCTCCATGGGCGGGGTCAGCGCCAGCAGGTGGGTGATGAGCTCACTGTCTGAGCAAGTGGAAAGGCCGACGCCATGGCGCATCACCTGTATGACAAAGTGTAAAACAGGGACTTTAGAGGTTAATGTTTTGGAGAGGAAGCTATTTTTATGCAGTGAGAAAAACCAGAGGACTCAGCTTTAAATGACGGACTGTTCGGCCAGTTTTAAATCAATACACGTCTTCTTGCATGTGAATTCTCTCACTGATCCGGCACTTACTACTGATCATCTACATATGAATTCAGACCCGCAGGATGTCATCCCTAACCCCCAACAACTTCTACCTCAGTAGCTTTTTGTGAAGAAAGGACAAAACCTGTTCGACCACAAAACATGAATCTAGTCGTTTTGCTTTGAGAAACCCTGCAGAGCTTGCCATTTAAAAAGTTACATCACTTTAACCTGCATCAAAAAGAAAAGAAAAAGCAATTGACTTAGCTTTTTCTTTTAAGAACTCATTTGCAAAGTGATGTGGTCTGATTGTTTAGCCTTGCAAAGATCCACACCCCCCTGTTTTATTAAACAAGATATCTCTACACAAGATTAAAATCCATCAAATGCTGACATCCAATTTGGTACATCTGCTGTAGTATTTTATCTGTAAAACCATAGATAGGTTTTTTTCTGGACTTTGCTTGCTCAAACATCTAAATCCAGACAGGATGGTTACTGAACGAGTCTGGATATTCTTGTGTGCATTGATTAAAGTAGCCACAAGGGGTTGTGAGTATGGTGCATTGCACTGGACTCTTCTTATAAAATGAGCAAGAACAGAGAGTAGAACATTGTGTGACTTGAGTGGAATGCATCAAATAATCAACATTTAATGGTATGGAAATGTGTTCAAGGATATGACTGCATACGGTCATGTAAAACAAAGAGCTGCAGAGAGAGCAAGAAAAGCTCTGATTCCCACTGCAGAAGAGGTAGTGTGTATATATGCTTTACAAATGAAAAGAACTGCTTCTCTAAGTAAATTTGAACATTAACTCCAGTGGTTACTTCCCACTAATCCAGGCTGAGCCTACTTTGTTTTATTTTTGTCCAATAAATTTAGTGTATGCCCTTTGTGTTTTTATTTAATAATACTGTTATAGAGCTTTATAAACTATGGATAGTGTGGCTCAAACCTTTTTTAAGTATATCTTGTTTGACAATATGAGTGAGAATTAATTAATTCAACTTTGACCCACGCCTGATGTCCCAATCCTGCAATATTTATAGAAAAATTCACATAATTAGGATTTTTTTTCACAGGGTTTTGAACACGTTTTTTTGGAATATCCTGGATGATTAAGAATATTCACCATTATTTTTATTCATAATAGGCTTCGTATAAGAGGCGTCATCTTCGTTCTTTAATATTATACACAGATTAGTTGTAGTCTTAAACATAAAATCTCAAAAGACCTCATTGAAGTTTATAAATTGAGAAAAGGGCAGGGCTATGAATATTTTGAACAGAAACAGAAAACAAACGTTTAAAAAAGTCTTTGGAAAAAGGGGTGCTGAGATGCAACACACATTGCAACACACAGATGCAACATAAGCAGGGGGTGGAAGGGGGTCATCCTCACCTTTTTCCGCAAGGCACGGGAATTAACCAGCTCTCCATTGTGTGCCACAGCAATCCTGCCATGCAGCGTATCCACAACAAAGGGCTGGCAGTTCTGCAGCTCTGAGATCCCTGTCGTTGAATAGCGTGTGTGACAGATGCCAAGGTTACCGTAGCGCAGTTTAAGCAGAGCCTCTGGTGGGAAAGCCGTGCTCACTAATCCCATGCCCTGAGAAATGCAAAGAGGGATCATTGTTTGCACAAATTGAAAACAAATTACCGGTGTGATGTCATTAGTGGAAAAATTACAAGACACCAAGTGTGAACAGGGAGGCCTGAACAGCTGGTAAAATTAATCAGTATGAAGCTTGATGCATGTGTGTCTCATCACCTTGTGGCTTGTGTATACTGGGGGACTTGCTCCATCACTTGTGACTATCCCTGCACTTTCCTGACCTCTAAAAAAACAAACAAACAAAAAATAGTGTTAAGATAGAGTCACGATTAAAGACTGTAACATGACCAGACATGCTCTAGTCCCCTCGGTATTTCAGCTCTGATAATGTGCCTTGAGGCAAATCAAACCAGAAAAAAAGGAGCTGAAGCCAGAGAGAAAAAAAACAAAAAACAAAAGAGCTGCTCAGATGAGGAGCAGCCATTTGTAGAGAGTCGCCTTGCTGTAGTTTCAGTCCATTTACCAAGCTGCTTCTCAGATAACACTTGATCCCGCCCCCTCTGCACACAGCTTAAGCCAGTGGTAAGGCTGCTTTTCAGCATGTAGGCGTTGCTTTTAGGCTTAACCGCCTGGTTGCCTAGGGAACCAGCATGCAGAGAAAGAAGGGGCCGAGGAAACGAAAACGTTTCCAGGTCAGCTCAAACATGGAGAGGCAGGCAGAGAGACAAAGAAGGGAAGACAGGGAGGTGGTGGAGGAGAAAGGCTCGATGGAGAGGCTGTGGGGGGAGGAAGAGGTGCTGGCTCTCGTGTCAGTGTGGAATGAGGCTGGAGCCCAGCATGGAGCAGAGAGCAGGGCCACGTTTGAGCTGATTTCAGAGCGGCTGAGGCGGCTCAGCGTTGTGCGCAGTTGGAGGGAGTGTCAGGCTAAGAGCAGGAGTCTGGGACTACAGAGCAGCAGGGCTGATGCAGCAGCAGGCACGTCTGCTAGCTATGGCCTGGAACTGGAAGGAAAGCCAGTGGAGAACACCTTCCTTTCCTCAGTCTCAGTTCCCATGAATGAAGGTAAAATCTAGGTTTAATGCAAACCATAGCACAGCTTCAAACATTCAGATTTGATAAACAAGCAAAAAAAAAAAGAAAAAGGTTTTTTATGTTTTTTTTTGCTTGCTTGCTCTAAAAACTGATGTAATTTCCAAAACAAAGACCAAATTGTTTGCATTCCAGCAGGAACAATAGCTCGAATGCGTACCAGTCTTCCCCTCACACCGAACGTGAGTGAAGAAGGGGGGCGCCACTGGACGGACGAAGAGGTGAGGGCTCTGCTGTGCGTTTGGGCTGACCAGAGTGTGCGGGAGCGCCTGAGGAGCACACTGCGAAACAAGTGCATCTTCCAGGAGATGGCCCGCCAGATGCAGAGAAAGTTTGGGGTGGTACGCAACTGGAAGCAGTGTCGGACCAAATACAAGAATCTGAAATACGACTACAAGACAGCCAAAAATGCTCACGCCGCTGCAGGCAGCAGTGCAGGAGGTCCTGGGAGGTACATGAAGTTTTTTGAAGAAGTGGAAGCCATCTTGCTCAACAAGGGACTGGAAAATGGGACTGAGGAGATGCAGAAGAGGCTTTATAATGGAGACACAAAGGCAGGACAGATGCAGACACCACCGGGAAACACTAGAGTGATGACCGCATCAGACAACGAGATCATCATTGAAATCGAAGATGGTAGATATTTCTTCTATCACACATCACCGTTTAAATTCCAGAGAATTCATTTTTCTCTATTCTTCTTCAGATGACAACAGTGATGACTATGATATTGATGGAGACGTGGAAGGCCAATGGAAAGGAACAGGTATGACTAATGTTTTAAATACATTCACTTTATAATCCACAGGGTTCTTATACAGATGGAATAGGAGGAAATTTCATTCAAGCCCTTTATTCAAATAGTTTTCACTTGTTTACTTTCTCTTTAAAAGGATGGAGTAAGAAATCCATAGGGGTAAATATTTTCCTTTCCAGATTTAAAATTCCATCACATTGTCTAAAGCAGGGTTCTTTCAATCAAGTCAGCAAGGTCGGGTATTAGATGAGTGTCTGTTTTTTAACACACCTCGGGTCATTAACAGGACCCTGGAGAACTTGACTTCATACTGAGGAGGCAACTTAGCCATTTGATTCAGGTGTGAGGAAACAGAGCCGCATCTAAAAGGAGCAGACACCAAACCTAAAGGACTGGAATAAAAGATCATTCATTTAAAGATTAATCTAAAAGGCCAACACTTATCCAGGTTCCAGCCATTTGTTTAATCACCAATCCTCTCTCAATCTTTTGTTCACCCACTATCCTTATATCCATCCATTCATTTTTTTTCCTCTCACCGTCTATCACACTAATGTACATCTATTTCTCCATTAATCTTTCCATGTTATGATGTCCAACATAATAACATGTTATTCTTATTACTAAGGTCCACATTTGTGTGACCACTTTTTTTCTATAATCTTTTTGCTGCCGTAAAAACCAGAATGTCCCCATTGTGGGACAATAAAGGGATTTTCTATTCTATTCTATCCATCCACTGGGATCATTTTCCTGCTGCGTTTGCAGGTTCCACATTCATAGCATCCCACTGGCGGATAAAAAAAGAAAATAATAAAACATTTAATATGGCAATCTTGTAAGAACCCTAAATCATAACCTCTTTTCTTCTAAACCAGAGGCCCACTTGACGCAACCAGACTCACCCAGCTCGGACCAGTTCCATGTGGTCACAGTGTCGGACACTGGCCGCAACTGGAGCGACCAAGAGGTGCAAGCTCTCATTCAGGTGTGGTCCGACAAACGAATATGCAAACAGCTGGAAAGCTCGACCAGAAAGCGAGACATCTTCGTCCAAATCTCCAAGAGGCTCATGCAGCAAGGCATCGAGCGGGACTGGAAACAGTGCCACACAAAGTACAAAAACCTCAAGTACCTCTACCGGTCCCTTCAAAGGAGCAAGACGGATGAAGCCGAGCGGAGGCGCCTCATGCGGTTCTATGATGAAGTGGATGCCATCATGACACACACCCCGTTGGTGGCCGCAGAGGCTGTAAATTCGAGCCCGCTCGCTATTTCACAGGCTCGTGAGGAAAACTGCTGGGCTGACGTACATTTGGCCAAGACAAACAGAGGAGAAGCCATGGATGAGGAAACCTGTCATTCTGATTCAGTCCCAATAGCAGTCAACGAGGATCTGAGGCTGCAAGGAGTCCAGGAGCATCAGTTGGACCAACATCACACCCCAAACAGTGAGCTAATTATTAAATGTGTATTTACTATGAACTGACCTTTTGTTCTTCAGTTTAACATAGAAAGGGTTCTAAACAAACCATAAGCTTGACTAAATCCTTGAGCTGTTACCCTCTGCATCTTTATATCTCAAGGTTAAAAGTTCAGAACTGTAGTGTTCTAATCAGCAAATGTTCACTATACTCTGACTCTTTGATCTTTAACTTAAAAAATAAAGTCAAAACAAACTAAAGTGTCAAAATAACAAAGATTGATAACAAGAGATTCATGTTTTAAGTATAAATGTTTTGAAAAACTTAAGGTTTAGGCTAGACTGTCAACCTGAAAATCATGAACATGATCATGTTTTTTTCTTGTAAAAAATTAAACTCGTGTTTCTACTCTGACTGTTTTTTTCACCATGATGTTTGCAGGCCCCTCTGAAACTCCAGCCGGGGAGGACGGCAGCTTCTCAGTAAAAAGAGGGAAGAAGAGAAAAGCTGTGGATCAAGGTTTTCTTAAATTCCCTACTCTCTCTTATCGCCCTGTGTGTCACATGATGTCTCCGAATTGAGTTGAAGTCTCATGATTTGCTACAAAGGCTTTAAAAGGATTACAGATACAGAAAGACAGCTATTGCTAGATTTAAACTGAAAACCATGTATAAAAGGACATCGCTGCATGCTGATTGTGTTTTTATTTTTTTTACTTCCAGACTGCAGCTACCAGAAAGCAGCTAAACAACTAAATGCAGGCCGTGAGTCTGTCACTGTGGTGGAGGCTCATTGCAAAGAGGAGCAGGAACATGTCCCCATAATAAAGATCAAATCGGTGTGCTCCATGGCCCAATCTAATTCATCCCCAAAAACGAAGGTAACATCTTTGAAATTAGGGTAACTTACAGTAAAATAAAATCTATACGGCTAAGAGAGCATGATATAGAACATATTTTTAATCATAGTGAAATTCTTCAGACTGCATGTATGTTTTTCATAAAAGAAAAAAAAAAAAAACAGAAATGCTGCACATCTTATCACACTCTTCATGTTTGTTAACCGTTTGTGCAAAACAAACCACCATTGTGTCATTTCTAAAATGCATAGCTGGTTAATAAAGTAAGGATTTCCACTACAGGATTCACTACAGAAATTGTGAAAAGTAGACTGGAACAACAAAGTCAATTAATCAGATAGATAGATGGACATAGAAATGAACAAGTATGAAGATAAAATAAAAACTAAGGACGAAAGTAAGGAATATTTTTAACATTGATCAATTGTCTTGAGTGACGTCATCAGAGGCGCCTATGTGTTTTTTGGGAGGCAGATTTTATTTTAAATAATAATTCCCAGCCAAATAGCAAGCTTAACATATGTTGATATATGGGGGGGGGGTTGATTTTATGAAAGTGAGTAATTTTACGGGATTTTTAAAGTAAAGTATTTTTATATGTTTTTTTTATAAACGTCACAGTGAATTGACTTCATTGAAAAGTTTCAAAAGTAAAAAATTTTTTTTTTTTTTTTGAACGAACACCGAAAGACAAATGTGACCATGCAGACTTGATTTCTTCCCCTTCAATCCTGAACTTGACAGTTCAGAAAATCCTCGCTCGATAGGCAAAATGATCAGTTATCCACGAAACCTTGATCACACTAACCTGTGCTGTAAAGCCACCAGTCCCAGAGTGAGCACCTGAGCCACTTCCAGCTGCGTGGGCCACTCTCCGGCGGCCACGCATCCGAAAACCCCGCACTCCTCGCCAATTCCGGACTCCTCAAACTCCATGCTGCCCCTGGGTCGCTGCAAGTCCTCAGGTTAGTCCGTTAACCAGACGGACTGGTCGCGTGCCTGCGAGCAACCAGCGGGCGCGTGCACGTTCACTGTCTGGAGAACACGTGTTTGGTGTGACAAAAAAAAGTCAGCTGACTGTTTCAATTCGCTATCACGAGTCTTAAAAGCAATAATTTAATCAAAGGAGAAAAGTAAAAGTAGGTAAAGTAGAAAACCTACAGCGCAGCTCTAATCATGAATGAATCAAACCTTGATTTGATCACAGATACTCGTGGTCTTCTACTCTGCTCGGTCACAAGACCGACTGTCTCATTTCAATCGACTTTTCTTTTTTCTACCAGTCGATTCTGTTATCAATCTTGAAAATGGTGGCAAGCCAAAGTTCTTCTTCTTCTTCTTCTTATGGGATTTTATGGCGGTTGGCAGACTTGTGAATTGTGCATTACCGCCACCAACTGATATGGAGTAAAGCAAGAAAACAGGAAACGATTCACCCCCCCCAAAAAAAAAAAAAAAAAAAAAAAAAAAAAAAAAAACTGTGTAACTTAAACCAACATAATACTAAATCACATTTGCCCATATTATTTTAATTTACTCTAGGTCATCTTAACTCTGCCAGTTTCTGATGGTCCCATCGGTCCTCCCATCATGCTTCCAACCATCTCCCAGTTCAAATCTTTAATGTCCAGATATTTTTCTGCAGCCTTCACTATTATTTTGATTTTTTCCGTTTTTTTTTGTTGTCTGTGCAGTACAATTAATTACTTCTACCATGAAAAGAACAAAATTTGTCTTTTTAACAATAAGTGAGTCTTCATCAATTTTTAGAGATTTCTCTAGAGGTTTGGAATTTGCCGTGTGTTGAACTGTAGGTTTGGGTTTTTCTGACTGAGATGGGATCCTTTTTGCAGCTTCAGCGTAGGTTATTCCGAGCTCAAATTTCATTTTTTTAATTTCCTCAGACCTTTTGCTTGCTTCACAGCCGCGATAGGCAGCAGTATGTTCTCCACCACAATTACAGCATTTTATTTTAGCTTCTTTTCCACATTTTCCGTACTCATGTTCTCCTGCACACCTTCCACACCTCTGTTTCCCTTTACAAACTGCTGCAATGTGACCGAATTTTTGGCATTTGAAACATCTCAATGGTGGAGGATTGTAGATTTTGACATTATAGCTTATGTAACCGATGAATACTTTGCTTGGTAATTGCTCTACTTCGAATTTAATTAGCACAGATAAACTGTCAGATCTTTCTCCGTTTCTTGTTGTTTTTAACCGTTTTACTTCTTTTACTTTTGCACCGCTTATGTTTTCCAGAATCTCTTTTTCAGAAATTTTTAGAGGAACTCCTCCAATGACTCCCCTGCTGATCTTTTTGTTCTCCATTAAGCTGCACTGAACTCTTATCCCGTCAATTTTGTTGATACGTATTGCTTTGCCTTGCTGGGCGCTGTCTCTGCAGTTAATTAGCAGGTCTCCACTGTACAGAATTCTGGCACCTTTGACTTCTCCGACAAGTTTATTGATGGTTTTTGTTAAGTGAACCGGATTCCAATTTGTAAAAGAGTCTGCCTGATTAACGACTTTGAATATGACTTTGAATTCATTTTGTTGTGCTGTGGAATGTATGGATTGATCATCACTGGATTGTTCTGAACTAGATTCCCCTTGAACTGATCTCTGTTTTTTCCGCTTTTTCTCATTTTTTGATGTTGCTATCTTCCAACCTTCATTGTCACTATTTCCCTCTTCCATCCCACAAGAATCGCTTCCTGTTTCCTCACTACTCACGGCCCAAGACATTTCTCCATAAGCAGCTTCAAAACACGCGCCATGCACCAAACGACCATCCACATCCAGCCCGTCAAACTGTTGCCGCAAGCCAAAGTTTTTCTCCAGGTTAAAATAAAAGGTTGGAGCATCCCAAAGCCATGTGATTTCAAAGCGCTACTCTGATTGGTCGAGGGAATGTATCGCGGAATGTGATTGGTTATCTGTGGACGTAAGATTGCGCTCCCTTTCCTCCCTTCCTCCGCTGCATGCCTGTGTGCCTCCCTGCTGCTGCTCCTGACAACTTTCTCTGCCTTGTCTTTTAGAATAGTTTAGGATCGACCGAAACGATGGCTTCCAGCACAGGTACTGCACGAAAATCATAATGCATGCTGTAGTAGTTGGATTGAACTTGTTTGATTTGTCACGTTTTTTGGGGTATAATTTCAGATTTGAACATCGGTCAGAAGCTCAATGAGGGAAAGACGAAGCAGATTTTCGAGCTGCTGGACCAGCCCGGACTGGTTCTGGTGCAGTCCAAAGACCAGATCACCGCTGGGAATGCTGTGAGGAAGGATCAGATGGAGGGCAAGGCAGCCATTGCCAACAAGACGACATGCTGCGTGTTCAAACTGCTCCAGGAATCCGGTGAGGACTCTGAAGTTTGTCAAGCCATCAAAAAGAGTCTGTGCTGCAGCATGAAATGAGATGGATGTGTCATAAAGGCCCTGAAGCAATTTTCACATGAATTCCTTAGAACATCCGAAAGATTTTATCACTTTTTTCTCACAGTTATATTTCACTAATACATTGTTATAGTCTTTAAAGAAGGTTGTTTTATTTAATTACAAAAGGACATCAAAGCTGGCATGCCCCAGATTAGAGAGACCAGTAAGAAAAGGACCCTCCTCAGTTAGGAGGCATTTGGATATTCAAGTTTATAAAAAATAAGGTTAATCTATTTTAATGAGTTTATGCCCAAATACACCCCCCCCTTTCACGCCCTTATGCAGAAGTAATTGACTAATTTGCAGACATGTGTCTCTTGAGTTTGGCACGTGTAAATCTAGAAGCAGTGAGGTCTGTCTTGTGACTTTTCTCCTAATTGACCAGAACATGGCTGACCACATTCCAATTAACCACAATAGAATTTAGGGTTAGATCCTGTCTTTAACATGCTGATGGCTTTAAGAGGTTCTCTCTTATGCAGGCAGTTATTTAGTTGTGGAATTGATGTTATAATTGTATTTGGTCCCAGTTTTAAAATATGCTAAAAAAAAGACCCAGAGTTTTTTAGTGTATTTTAATGGTCAACAAAAGAAAAGATTTTCCTTGCCCCCAGACATGCTTCTCTGGTCTATTTTTATTTTTTATATATTCATGCATTAATCGTTTTTCTCTTTCATGTTTTAATTTGTCCAATCATTCAACTATTTATTGACTGCTGTTTTTGAGTCTTGTGACCGGTGGTACATTTCAGGCCTTCTCCAAACGTCCGTCTTGTTTTCCAGGCATTAAGACTGCTTTTGTAAAGCAACATTCGGAGACTGCGTTCATTGCTGCCCACTGTGAGATGATACCCATTGAGTGGGTGTGTCGCAGGGTGGCTACTGGATCCTTCCTGAAGAGAAACCCAGGAGTCAAAGAGGGATACCGTTTCAGCCCTCTGAAGATGGAGATGTTCTTCAAAGTAAGCATAAAGGCTCCAGAAGATTGAGATGAGTGATTTTCTAATTGGGTATGAACTCAGGGACTGTTCTTCTCCTTAGGATGATGCCAACAATGATCCTCAGTGGTCCGAGGAACAGCTGCTGGCTGCTAAGTTCACCCTGGCAGGGCTCACCATTGGTCAGTGTGAGGTGGACATAATGAGCCGCAGCACTGTGGCCATCTTTGAAATCCTGGAGAAGGCTTGGGCCACTCAGAACTGCACGCTGGTGGACATGAAGGCATGTTGTCCTGTGTCGTCCTCTGCTGGTTATTTGATCTTCCAAACAATAGCAAACTTATTTTACCTTGTTTTAACATTTTTGTAGATAGAGTTTGGTGTGAACGTTAAGACGGGGGAGATTGTTCTCGCTGATGTCATCGACAATGACTCCTGGAGGCTTTGGCCAGCTGGAGATCGGAGTCAGCAAAAAGATAAGCAGGTTCGGAATTATAATATAAGAGTTTATGGAATGACACATTTGGTAAACTGAGTAAAAGAGTTGGGTGTTTCTTCATTTTGTCTTTCCAGGTGTACCGTGACCTGAAAGAAGTTACCCCAGAAGCGATGCAGATGGTGAAGAGGAACTTTGAGTGGGTTTCTGAAAGGGTCCAGGTATAAAGAAGCAACTCTTTGTTCTTTGGAAGTCTTCCAAACTTGTTTGCAGTGCATTTTAATGCATGTATTGATCCCAATGTTATCTGCAGCTCCTTCTGGAGCCCCAATCCAGCGGCAGGGTGGTGGTCCTGATGGGCTCCACCTCTGACATTGCTCACTGTGAAAAAATCAAGAAGGCTTGTACCTCCTATGGGCTCCCCTGCATCCTGCGGGTCACTTCTGCTCACAAAGGTCCAGATGAGACGCTCCGCATTAAAGCAGAATATGAAGGTGTGCATTAATAAAATATGTATAATTATTTTTTTTTAGAGAAGATGTCTGGAGTTGCATCTCCATGATCCATCAGCTTTACTGTTTTGGGTTTTTTTTCTGCAGGTGATGGGGTCCCCACAATATTTGTGGCTGTAGCTGGTAGAAGTAATGGTCTGGGGCCTGTGATGTCTGGAAACACTGCTTATCCTGTCATCAACTGTCCTCCTCTCACCCCAGACTGGGGAGCACAAGATGTCTGGTCATCCCTCCGTTTGCCAAGTGGTGAGCAGACCTCTTAATGCCTTATTTTCTTCACCATTAGTCAATCTATCCAAGGTGCTAAACTCTTCCGTGTCTTACAGGTCTGGGCTGCTCCACAATCCTCTCCCCTGATGCTGCGGCTCAGTTTGCGGCACAGATCATCGGCTTGAGCAACCACCTAGTCTGGTGCAAGCTGAGGGCCTCTATGCTCAACACTTGGGTGTCTCTTAAGCTTGCTGACCAAAAACTACAGGCCTGTAGCCTCTAAGTAGCTTAGACCAATCCAGATCCTGCCTTTGTTTGCCCTTTAACTGTAGATGTTCCTTGATCATTCCATTAAAGCAAGAATGAATAAAAAAAAAAAACTATTGTTTTCTCTGTTTAATCCCATTAACTTAATCAGTCTTAAATATAAGTATAAAAAAAATGTGACCTCTTGCCATTTTTATTTCTGTATCACTCGGTACACAGAAATAAACAAACTCAGGATCTCGGGAAGATGGCAAAAAGAATGCTGGGCTTGCCCAAAACATAAGAATCTTTTCTTTGTAATTCCAGCCTAATGCTCGTAACCTTATAAAGGATGAGAAACTGAATTTAACAAACACCTGAATGCTGTGATGCTGAAAATTTGGCCGAGTTTGAGCTTGTTGCACCCACAAAAGTGAATGTATTAAAGCATGACAATTTGAATGGCATGAAGCATCCACTAAAGCGTGTATTGGTTTTAGCTTCGGGTCCTTTTTAGGGAATGGGTTTTATACTGCTTGAAATTTTTTTTTTTTTTCTCTGCAAAACTGTTCAAAGAGCATACTGTAGGTTAGAGCCTCATATTTTTTTTTTTTTTTTACCAGTGTTTAAAAATTTTATTTTTTATTTTTTTATTAACATGCACCTATTTGAATTTTTTTTTTTTTTTTTGAGAAAATGTTACTTCTGTATCTAAGACATTTCAGAGACACTTAGAAATGCCTTTCATACTGCAAAACATTGAAATCCAAGTCCACTTTTCTTTTAAGTGTCTAGTGTGTTTATTGAGCACTTGATACACTGCCATTCTAATAAGATTATTTACATTTAGAATAAGACAAAAAATGCAGTCTCTTATTTCAGGTGAATAATGTACAATTTTAAGAGTAGAAATACTCATTCCATTGGATGATCCTTTTTACCATTCGGAAATTAAGGGTAAATATTTAAAGACAATTTGTAAAAATTTTTAGATAATTTTTGCAATGTATTCGTAAATTTATGTCGATATAGCGGCCAAAACACTTTAAACGCTAAAACTTTCCAAATATGATCCATTACAAAGCAATTAATCTGCATTTTGTCAAATCTAACCTGGAATTTGTATTTTTTAGCCCTGTCAGGTTGGATGGTGTGCAGATTCCCTCAGTTTGGACTTTGGACTGGGCCATAACAGTAGATGAGCTTTGCTTTTGATCAAGACCAGTTCATAGTAACTGGCTGTATGTTCAGGTTTGTTTGCACAGATCCAACCTGAACCTTTGGCTTGTTTGGTCTCTTGCAACATTTATCTAAATATCTTCCATATTTTGAAGCTTGAGATTATCAACTCCGACCAGTTTCTCTGTCAAAGAAAATATGTCTCACGTTTCATTGAAAGGAGAGATCAACTCATTACAAGTTTTCATTTTTTTTAAAAGGCTGATATTCATTATTTTGAAATAAAACACATCCCAGATATGAACTTTTTCTTAATTAATATATTATAAATTCAGACAAACAGGGAATCATACATTTCTTAAAGAACACAATGTATAGCAAATTGAGGGAGTGGCAATGAGCGGTCCAAGCATTCATGAGGCCCTAAGAAATTCTATTTTTAGGGCCCTTATTTAGACTTAAAAACTAAGAAAAGTAAAACATTCTTAAAATAAATGTAATTACCCAGAATTTGACTAGGTAAGTAAGAGATGTCAATGAAATTATTTTACTCTTAAAGTATTATAGATAATATGCTCTTGTAAGACAATGCAGTAGTTTTTGTTCTTATTATTCTAAAGTCGTAAGGAAGCGGCTGTTCTAAAGGCTTCAGTTCCTCACGAATTCTCCCAGAAGCATCCTGCTAACTAGTTAGCAACTTAGTGCTAGTAGGTTTCCAATGGGAAATTACACTGGGACCAAGTAGCACTTAACAACGACACTGTCAAGAAACGCTATGGACGGGGGAAAAATGCAAAAGGAGAGTTTTGTGTCGGAGGATAGGGTCAGGGGTAGTGTTTCGTGGACGAGTCTCCCATCATACATTTTTTATCTAAAGGAGGAAAGCGGCGACGAAGATCTTGTGGAAGAGGACGACAGGACGGCAGAAGCTTTGTTTGGTGTAGAAGGCTTACAGCCGTACATGTTTGAGCCCTTTCCTCACAACGCTGCCAGTTCTGTTAGCTGCTGAAGACACAGGCGTCCATCCCAATGAATACTGGGACGTAACTCAATGCAGACATCCCGAGTTCCAGAAACTCATTTCAGGGGGATACTTATACCCCCACCGCCCAGGGACAACGGACCCGCACCGTGCCCCATACATAAACACTAAAGGCCAGCAACTTCTCAGCAAATGTTTATTAAATAAAAGTAATTCCTTAAACACAGAACAGTATTGGTCTTTTATTTTTTAATACTTTAAGTCTTATAGCCTTGAACATCAGTTGTGCTTTCTGTTTTTCATGGGACCTCGGCATACAGTGTACCTCGCCACCGTGTCGTCGTTCCTCACCATGGCCGGTTCGAGACAGGGGCCAACGGGGGCCAGTGCCCTTGTAGATCATGTCCTGGCCCCTGTTATGACCCCTGTACTGAAGACATAATACTTAAAAGAAATTCTACTGATGATCTGCACTGGAACAGACATAGTTACTGATAGGTCATTTGGATCTATTTAATTATTATTATTATTATTTTTTTTTTTTACAAATTCAGTTTTACTAATTATTCAAAAACAATAAGGTGATAGCTTCAGTGGTATTGAGATAGGATCCCAGTTTTCAGATGCTAAATGATTTTTTTTATCACAAAGAAATAAAGAGAAAATGCTCTAACTTTTAGAGATAAATTACATAATATTTATAACAGTTTTTCTTGAGTTCTAATTAAAATTTTATAGAAAACAGTAGTTTTAACTCAAATTAAGTCAAAATGTTTAAAATTCCTAAATTATAAATATATATTGACCTCATAAGAAATATAATTTTTATTGAACCTTATTGAAAAGAAATTTCACTTCATGCTGCTCTCTTAATATATTTGAATCTCTTGCCCTGTTTTTTATTTCATGCTTTTTTTGTGCCCCGATAACCCCCCCCCCCCCTCCTACTGGCCCCCTTGTAAATTTGGTCTAGATCCGCCACTGTTCCTCCCCTTCACTAGACGTGGATATACTTTTGTATATTCTGCTGTAAAATGAGTCCTATATTTTCGTTTTTTACTTGTCGATTCAACCCTCTGCCGTTTCACAGGATGCACAGCTTTGAGTGGTAACTAGGTGACTGCCAGAGAGTAACCCAGAGAAACTTTTCGGTCTGATCCAATCAGCTCTCTGACAACCTGTCGCCTGGAATACTGATTGAACAGAACATCGTTTTGGACAGATACGCTGCACAGGTTTCACCTGCAACCTCCTCCCCACACCCCGATCTCTCTCTTGTTGTTCCTGTGCAATCAAAGTAGTTCTAATCCGCATGTATGCACGAATCATTGTATTACCTACACGCTCTCGCTCGCATTAAAAATACACCACCTTGCAAAGTCTAAAATCCGGGATAATTTATCCGATTTGCGGGCATCCGTGAACAACTATCTATATCAGGGAGACTCCCGGAACTTCTGGGAGACTTGGGATGTCTGCTCAATGGTAAAGTAAATTTTTCTTATTTCAGCTGTTGCGTATATTAGCTGCAACATATGAATGAAGATGCTATGACCATAGCATGACTGACAGATGACAGTTGATATATGATTGGTCGAACTTACTATTCGGTATTCAGGCTGACGTATAAATAACTGGCCTGCATAAAATAACGGAAAAAAAACACAGATTTTAAGACAGGATTTTTTTACAAATAGAAATTTTCTAACTCTTGGGACAATATAGTATGATAAAGAGTACATTTATATACATGTTTAAGCCAGAATGATTTGAAATTTGAATATGACTTCCCTATGACTTTAAATGTAAATAGTCTTATTCCATTGGCAACATGTCTCACTTACCTGTTTAATTAAAGAAAAAGTCTTAATTTTAAGAATTGAGTAACTTAGATTTGATTGTTTTGCAGCGTATGCCAATAATATTGATTGCTGCAGCCAACAGTCCGATAATCAGATCATTCACACCCCTACAATAACTCATTGCAGCTCTGGCAGTGCTGTTTACCGTCTCCAATTTTAATACATCATCCAGTGTTACTAAAATAAGTCAAAGTAGTTTGCAGTTATTTGTATTTAAGTATCAAAAGTTTCATTTGGATAATACTAATATTAAACAAATAAAATACCTCTGATAAATAAAAAACAATAAATTATGTGCTATAAAAACAGACATAATTAAATTAAAGCACTAAGAATGTTCTGAAGTAAAATATTACCTGAAAGGGAAAAAAAAATTGCCTGAATTTAGGTAAAATGGAATTGAAATTTTAATGATTAGATCTTAAGACTTGTAAGTATATGTTACTATAGCTTAATTATTAAAGATAAACTACATTTATCCTCATATATAACTTTTTATCTTATAGTTGTTTTCCTCAATAGTCCATTCACTCCGTAAAAACTGACATTCCCAGCTTTTCTGTTTCCCAAATCACTGATGACATCACTGATTATGATCTGAAAGACCACTCTAATATTAAAGCTAATCACTTCCAGCATACCCCATCACTTTTCCGCCATAAGAGATCTCAGGTAGTTCTGTTATGTTGGAATTTGGAAAATTTTCTCCCTGAAGATGCAACAGTCATGGGAGAGAGCATCCCATCCTCAGAGGTCCCCGAAGGTTTGGGTAGAACTCAGATCTCTTTTTGAGCAGGGGTGTCAAAGTGGTTCCAGAAAGGGCTGTGTGGCTGCAGGTTTTCTCTCCAACCAAGCAATATCACACCAGACTCCAGTCATCTAATCAAGTGAGTCCAATCTGAACATGATGACTTCATGAGATGAATGAGTCTGATGTGCTATTGCTTGGCTGGAAAGAAAACCTGCAGCCACATGGCCCTTTCTGGAACCAGTTTGACACCCCTGTTTTAGAGAGAGGAAAGTGAGTAAATGAGCTCATCTGTGCTTCAGGATGTCTGGAACGTTTCCATCTTTGAAGCCAGCACACACTCTCTAATAGGTTTGTCTCAGGGAAGTTTACACCAGGCCTTCCTTGTTTCTGACCCAGTTTTAAATTTTTTCCATGTATGAGTATTGATTTCTACATGATTGCACTGCAAGAACGTTCAGGAAAAAAAAAATAGTAAAACATTTCTTAAAATAAGTGCATTTAACCTTGACTTTTAGTAGGAAAATAAGAATGGAATGAGAATTTTACACTTAAAACAAGATAAAAATATATTAAGACTGCAGTTGTTTTTTTCTTATTTTAAATATACATTTTCTTGTTCCATTGGCAAAGTGTCTTCCTTATCTGCTCAATTCAAGAAAAGAATCAATTATTTTTTTTAAATTAAAAACATTTAACTGAACAATTGGATCACGAAATTGTGTTTTTTGTCAGTACATTGATATAGAAATAATTTTACAACGAAAAAAATCCAAACAGAAGTTGTTCTTTGGTGCCCTTTAGTTAAATTGAAGTACTAATCAGTTGCTTAGTTAGCTTATGCCTTGCTTTCACCCTGATCTGAAGGTATGGCTACTGAATGCAATAATTTTTTAGATCAGGGGTGTTCAGACTGAGGGCCTCTCCTACAATACAGAAATGGGACTACTCTGAAAAGAAAGATATTTGATAAAAAAAAAAAAAAAGATATAACACAATGTATTATATAACACAGTGCAACATTTTTTTCAATTTAATTTTTTTTTATAGCTTATAAGAGAACACATATAGATCTTTTAATTAAGCAAGCTTTGATGCTTCCATTTTAAATCAACAAGTAAAGCAGCTATTTTCCAAGACTACTTAACTAATTTAAATTGTGTTGCATACAATAAACACAAACAATCCAGATAGAGAGAACAAAAATATACTGAGCTTTAAAGCTCTGTTTATTTTTGTTTTAAACAAGGAAGCTTTGTACAATTTTACATAATTTTAAGCTGAATTAAAAGGTATAAATCGTCCATTATGGCTCTTTCAGGTTGACAATTTTGGCCAGAGTAGCAAAAGGTTTGGACACCACTGGTTAATGTGGACAGCCATGCCTAGTTTAGTTTTTTCTGACTATTGAGCATTAATCAAAAGTCCTTTTAAAGATAGGTTGCTTCTGAATAATGCTCTTGTTTAGCCAATCAATCCAGGTAAATGCTTGCTGCTGTGCAAAGGTCTTTCCATTTTTGTACCTGTAAATCAGTCATCCGGCTACGTTTACGTTTTATATTAAAGCACAGCTTAGATATGCTCTGATGCCTTTGTTATACTGTATTGAGACAATCAGATAACAAACACAAACAATTAGATAACAAACACATGATGATTTACTACGTTTGGTGATTTGAGTAGATTTTAGGGGTAAATGAGGGATGTCAGAGAAAAGGAGAAATAATAAAAGAACTGTATCAGTTGCAATATGCTCTAGCATTTGTCCAGTGAAGATGAGGAACATTAACTAACATGGAAACATGCTGGCTTTTCTCTGATGTACAGGGATTGCATGCTTTGCAAAGAAAATCGAATTTAATAAATATTAAAATGCTAATCTGGGCTTTCCTAATTAAGGAAAATATATTTTGTAGTTCCAGTGATTTTATCAAAAACAGTCAGCACACACAAATAGTAAATCTGCATAAAAATACTATTTTGTATTCTAATTATAGAATTGGAAACAACTGTATATAGACTAATACATTTATGGTTCACTGTCAAATGTGGATTTTTTTATTGATTGAAAATTCCTCCTTACAGTTTCCTGTAGTAGCTGTGTACGATGTTGTCCTTTTAATTCTTCCACATAATGATCCTCTCTATTTATGCATTTAGTTTATTAATTAAAAAATAATAGTAGACAGATATTTCTTCCCTCTGTTCCAGTCAGAACTCCCAGAGCACCATCTGCATAACACCTGGTTTGCACTACTACATCTGCTGCCTTGTTGCCTCTGTTGTGTTGCAGGACTTTGAAATAACCGCAAGAGGGCGTTTCAGGCCAATCTTTTAGTAGATAATCTTAACCTTTGCATTTCATTCCAGTAGTCTGTAGCCAAAAGAATGAGTCATGCCTACTGACTTTGCCATCGTTTTCAGTTGTTTTTCGTCTTCTGTGATATCTTGGCCTTTCCTTTTTGATGCAAAATGAAAAGTAATAGTCTTGGATGTGCAAAATCTATACCTGTGTGGGTGGGTGTGGGAGGACTGAAGTACTGTGGGCAGAGTGAGCTGACAATACAACATATTCCCCAAGAAGCAGACTTGTTATTCACTGATCATTAGAAGCAGTAGAGCTAAGACTGATCCAAAGAGCTTCAAGGAAACCTGAAGTCACTGAGATGTGGACATATTGTCCACATCTCAGTGACTTCAGGTTTCCTTGACAACAGTAACATGGCAACAGTCAGTCTATATACAATATCTGCTTTTCTTTTGCAGATTCTGTCTTGATGTTGCTCTTTGGATCTCTTTATTTCCTGTCTGTCCTTATGGCCCCTTCCTGACTATAGCAGCATCATAGATAACATCACAGCTTGAATGAAATGAGCGCAACATGAGGTCTCATGAGGTAACCCAATCAAAGGCTCTGAATATCTTCAGAGATGCCTTTATGCTGTGTGTATGTGTTTCTTAAAAAAAAAAACTCCAGGCCACCATGTAAAAAAAAAAACAACCTTTTGAAGATTTCAAAAAAGCAATTTATTTAGCTTTTAAAAAGCTGTGGGGCTGGCAGTTTTCACATCTACAGCTTATTTACACCAGTATTTGTCTGATTATCTTTGTTTTAACTTGTGTACAAAAATCTCTATCATTATATACTTTGACATCATAGCTAACTGTCTGTACCTCCTTTATGATGATCCTTTAATCCATACTGTTATAACATCCTGTTGATTGTCCCATCCTACATCTCTGTCCACTAAGAGCTGTTTCTCTCCCTTCTCTAATTTTTCTTTTAGTTCACTACATCACTTCAAGTTATTTTTGCTAAACATTCAAACTATTAAACGTCTCGATGTGGGCGATCACAGTGCCCCCAGATCGTGGCATGAGCGGGACTTCTGTCTCAGGAACTTGCCCACTTCTCTTTCTCGTGGGTACCGAGGCATCAGGCTGGTGAGGAAGCGTTTAGCACGAGAGGTGATGCTTTCTCGTTGACCTCCTCCACACATGTCCTCTGCACTGCACCCTGGGGGCCAAGGCGGCTGACCTCTGGCTAGTCGTACGGCAGACTCCAAGAGCTCAAGCGTGCGGTGATCCAGAGAGGCTGAGATCTCCAGATACAGACAGTTATAGAGGGCAGCACTGGACATGGCCTCTGATGGAGGGAATGGAGACCAGAGAGAAAATGTCAATAGATGTCACAGAGTTTCAAAAAAAAGGGTTTTGATGCCATCTATGCAAGAGGTTAATGTTATATGTTTTACAACTTAAAGGCACACTATGCAACATTTTTCAGTTAATTAATGTGTTCCATAACGTTTTGGATGATTAAATGAGTCATTTCAGGTTGAACAAAGGTATTCTCGGCCGCCCTGGTGGTCTGTGGGGGAAATACCGCACTTGCAATTGCAGGAGCACCGACCCCGCACCCACAGGCTCAGAAGTCTCGCGAGAGTCGGTCTTGCTTTACGGCGAGAACTGCTACACCCCCCAGTTAAAAGCATGCTTGTTGCTAGCACAGTGGTGATCTTTGTGCAGTGCTGCTTTCACACCGGACGCAGCAAAAGCAGCAAAATTGCGTCTGCTGCTTCACTTTTACTGCTTGTACCAGTTAGTTCTGACACGCGGCTGAAGCAGCTTTGCTGCTCTGGCTGCGCGGTGCAAAAGTGCGTCTGACGCGCGTTGGGCGGAGCTTCACTATCCTTTCTCTGCCTTGCAGCTATATTTGCTGTGATCAGTGGGAATAAAGTAGTTTTAATATGTTTTTAAGTGAGAAAATACACCTGAAAACGTAATCAGTGCAGTCAGTTCATTCAGATTTTCATCCTGCCTTACAATATTTTTTCTGTCGGAGCCGCTCAGACCCCCACATACCAGCGGTGCGCCGACAGTAGGAATCCCTTCATCAGCAGCCTCTGGCCGGGTCGCCTCCTCGCGGTTCACCGCGGCAGCCGGTAAGTGTTTTTCATTTAACTAATCCAAACTGCAGGCAGCAGGATAATAAAAGCGAACATATTCTGCTGGCAGATTTCTGCATTTTAAGTTAATTTAGGCGTCAAATAAACTATTTAAGAGGAGTGATCATAGCGCTCTGATCATCAGCGCTGTGTCTCTCTCCCTGCCAGCTCCCAGATCAGCTTCTCTGATTGGTTGACGCGGCTCGTCGAGCAGCAAAAATTAAATTTTTCCATCTCCAGCAGCAGTGCGTTTGCGGCACGTCACGCGCGTCAGATGCTTAGTCATTCGTTGCGTTCGCCTGTCTGCTAAGCTCAAAACAACCGCGCCTGGCTTGACGGAGAAACCAGGAGAACAGCTGTGCATATTTACTACAGTGCACTTTTACTTTCGCCCTCTGGGGGGAGCCTCGCTGGAAAATCAACACCGGTTGCATAGTGTACCTTTAATGAGCCTTGAACTCTTCTTTACTAGGTTACTGTACAAACACAAAACACAATGGGTTTTATAGGGATTTTATGTGGCAGAAAAGCTCAAACTAATTAAAAAATTTTGAAGTCGAAGTTGGATTTTTACAATTCTTCACCAATATAATGCAGAAGAGTGGGTGAGTTTTTATAGCCCCCTTTAAGATCTCTTTGTGAAGCCAACTTTCACTATGTCCAGCACTACCAACTTTAAACATCAATTCTATATATATATATATATATATATATATATATATATATATATATATATATATGTCTAAAATTGCTTAAACTCCATCAGATTGGATGGAGGTCTTCTGTAAACATAATTGTCCTATCCCGGGGGGAGGAAATCTTCTGTCATAGTCTGAGGTACACTGCAGCATCTCCCCCTCCACAGCTAAGGGGTTGTTCGTGTGCACTTTTTTTTTTTGTTATTGGAGAGTGCTGGTCTTTTAAAAAAATTGCGAAAATCCTCCAGTATACCTAACACTAAGCCTAACTGATTCACTGGTACCATGATTTCCTGGTTCAGTTGAAAAACAATTAGGTGATGTTAATGGGACTACTTTTTTTTTCAAACATAGGCCAACCCGCTAAAAATCCGTATTTGGCTCCCTTCTCATCTGCTAAAAAAAGATGGATCTAACCCCTCGATGGCAAGCTGCCTCTTTGTATCTGGTGACACCATCATGCTGGGTGAAGTTGGTGTTTTACTTGATACATAATATAAAATGGGGACAGTTTGCTTTTTATTTAACAATACTTATGGTACACCATCAGGATGTTGTTGACATTACTGCTAACTGTGTTTATAAATTGATGTGATGTTTAACCTTCATGTAATTGAGCTAATAACTAACTGTGTCACACAAGCTGAATGCTGTTAAAGTGTTATGAATGTGAAGAGGTAGCACACTCATTCTGAACGCTCTCTTACTCTGACTGTAATTGTGGCACCCTCTACACTCCCACACTGAGCTGAGGCATGCATTTCACATTTACGTTAGTGTTTCCTGCCATTAGAATAGCAGAGAATTCCACCACCTGGGGCGAGAGCAAAAGCCAGACGAAACAACACAGGAGGGATGAGAAAAAAAACAACTCAGTAAAAATGGGATCTTCCCTCGTACCTTGAGCTGTAACCTCACGAGAGCGAACAAGGTCGCTCTTGTTACCAACAAGGATTATGGGAGTCTGAGGTTGAGTCTCTCTCAGGAGGAGTCGGAGTTGAGCAGTACGGTGGAAACTGCGCCTATCAGTCACAGAGAACACTAGAACGCACACCTCACACTGAAGAGCGGATAAGTCCTGTGGAGAATAAGAGAGGTTGAGACATAATATATGACATCTTAGGCTACGTTCACACTGCAGGCCTTAATGCTCAATTCCGATTTTTTTGTGAAATTCGATTTCCAAATATATGCAACTTGTATGTGATCTCCTGTGTAAACTGCATTCATACAGCTTAAGTGTCCCGCATGCGCAGTAGAGGACGCAATGACGTCACAAGTCAGCGTGCTTCTTGTTTACGGAAGTAAACATGGATTTAGTGCTGGAGCGCATCTAGCGATCTTTCCACACCTTAAAACCTCCATCTTTTGAAGATGGTTAAAAAAAATACTACTCTCAGCATTATCGTCGCCATGGTGTTTGTTTTTCTTGCCGCTTCTATGTAGCAAGAAGCAGAATAGTGACCTATGTCGGTTACTAATGGTCTTCAGGTCAGATGAATGCGACCAGACTGTTTACACACAGGTCACATTTGAAAAGATCAGATTCAAATCGGATTCAGGACTAAATAGCCAAATGGCCTGGGTCGGATTGGAAAAAATCGGATCTGCGTTGTTCAGGCTGCCATGAAAAGATCACCTCCAGATCACATATGAGCAAAAAAAATCGTATTTGGGTCACTTCAGGCTGCAGTGTGAACGTAGCCTTAGTCTCCACAAGTTTAAACATCAGAGAAATATGGAAACACAAATACCTGTCATTAGAAATCCCAGTATTGCTTCTTTTTCAGAAAAAAACAACATATTTCCCATCAAACAAACCGTACTATATATGGACAGGTGCTACTTGCTGAAGTCCAATAAACACATGGTCTGTTTATCTATCAAACTTCTGGTATAATTCTGGTTAAATGTGCGACCACTCATCTTAGACCAGAGATGTCAAACTGGTTCCAGGAAGGGCCATGTGGCTGCAGGTTTTCTTTCCAACCAAGCAATGGCACACCAGACTCCAGCCATCTCAGTGAGTCCAATCTGAACATGATGACTTGATGAGATGAATGGAGTCTGGTGTGCTATGTTTGGTTGGAAAGAAAACCCGCAGCCACACGGCCCTTTCTGGAATCAGTTTGACACTCCTGTCTTAGATTGTAAATTAAACGGTGTCCAAAGTTTAATACATTTTGGTTTTGGCCTAAGGTGAAGCTGAATGAAAGACAGTCCTCCTTCTTCATTGTGCTATTTAACTTTGTGCAGTACACCTTAACACTTTCATCTCAACAGACACTAAGATAATGCTGTCAACACCAAGCCTGACAGTTGGAAGTGTTCCTTGGTTTAAAAACTTCACATTGATCCTTTTAAAGTCACTTCTTTACTCTTATGACCAAATAGCTCAGTAGTCCTACCAGTTTAAACGAGATAGTCTAATCCAACCCCTCCAAAAAATTGTCAAATATCCAGTTAGGATTAAACCAGGAACTTGCTCATGATGTAACCAAAGTAACACAAAACCAAATATCAATGGTTGTCTTCAAATGAAAATATTTGAGACTTATCATTGTGAACATATGTTGACTAACAAAACCTACAATAAATTCAAACCTGTACATTGAATTTGTTTTTGAGGCTCCATGAAGATTTGTTTCTAAACCTGAAACAAACACTTTCCCATCGCTGCCAGTGAATGAATTTCCCCCTTCTTTTTCATAGTGGTAAATGATATGTAGGTAAACACTGACAGCTTTACAAATGCTAGATCTAAGGGCTACGTTTGACACTGAGGATAATCAACAATCTTAAACATTTGACCAGAAGTTCAGGAAATGTTCTCTCATGTCTCAGATACTCTTTGAAAATGGTTCATCCATGACTACTTACATTTTCCCCAAACTGGGAAGTTTGACCACATTACACCAGTAATAACATATTTTCACTGTTAGCCTTGTAAGATTCCATTTTCAGGTCTGTTTGCTCATGTATGAGGCTCTCTACATGGTCTGTCACTTCCCTGTCGCCTGACCTTTTACCCTTTCTCACTTTGCACCAACTCTGTTCTCAGGTTACTGGTCTTCTTAAGGTTCTTAGATCCAGAAGGAAAACCATCAAGGATTCTGCTTTATCCTGTTGTGTCCAATGCTTTAGGACCAATCTCTCTCATGCTGTTAAGCAAGCATGTTCTATGAAGGTTTTTAAAGTTAAAAACCCACTTGTTCAACCTATCTCATCTTATGAATCTCAGTTTTGTGTATTAAGATTGTTTTGATCCTGGTATTTATTTGTGTTTTATTTGCTTTGATAATTTTTCAAATTTGTGTTTGACTCTATATAGTTTGAATTTTAATCTTCTAGTAATAGTTCAGCACTTTCTTTAAAAGTGCTTTATAAAAACATTATCCCAAATGGTTGACAAATGATAATTTTTTGTATAAGTGATAAATCAGCGGTAATGGAGTATTTTTCATCTAAATAAATAAATATGTTAGCATTAGTCCAAGTAATAGGAGTGTGTAATAGGATATTAGGGGTTGTTTTTTTTGTGGGAAAGTAAGTTTCCGGTGCTTCAGTTTTACAAATAAAATGAACTCCTCGTACATTACAAACTGGCCTTTGTAGAATCTGGAAAGGTCTGTAGGCCATGGTAAGGCAAATGCACTGCAAAAAACATACATGCTAAACACAAAAAAGGAGGCTAGCAAGCTCCATAGCTTATGCACAAAATACATGCAATAGAAAAACACTGCAAAGAGAAATGCTGCAGTCACAGATAATAGAAAAAAATACTTAAGATTTTAATGTAGAGATGCACGGCTGCTGCTGAGATACCTTCCAAGAGTGAAATAGCTCTTTTGTTTAACAAATAGGGAAAATTTGAAGCATCTGCCAAATTTAGCATTTACTACTTAGTTTTAGCTTTACCTTACAGAAAAAAAAAACAAAAAACATTAAAATTATATCGCCTGTGGGACCGGCCAACAGTGGGCGCAAGGGAGCACCCCACCCACCCAATGACCTTGATTAAGACAAAAACATACAGATTAAAATTTAATTATAAAATTTTAATATTTCGAAATATATTGATATATAATTTTTAGATTTGCAAGATAAATATTTAATTTTTTATGACGAGTAAAGCTGTTTTCATTTAATTTGGTCAGATTGGTGATATATTTATGGCGCAAAAATCTTTGCCCATTGACTCGCATTAAAAATTGTACATGCGCAGTAGTATGAAGGACCAACTCTGCCATATTTAAAAATAAATACAGAAATAAATAAATGCTCAATAAATGTATAAGCATACAATTAATTGCCAACAAAAAAGTGAGACATAAATGTATATAACTCTTAATTAGCTTCTTTATTTATTTGCCTTTGTAATATTTACCTTATTTATTTTTCTGTCCTTTATAATCTTCAACTTTATTTTTTAATTACTTATATTTTTAAGTATTTATTTATGTGCATGTTATTATATTTTTGTCTGTTTTATTCTTCCATTGTATTTTTTTACCTTAGTTATTTCTTCACCGCTGTTTATTTCTCTCTGCCTTTTTACATTTCTCTATGCCCTTTTTACATTTCTCTATGCATTTCTATCTCATTATGCAAATGAGGAGGGGGTGTGTCCTAGAGAGTCAACTTCTGCTCATTGGTTGGCTTGGCGGTCCATCTTCTTAAAGGAGAATTCCGGTTTTTAACACTTTTAGCCCATTTTCTGTAGTGTCCAGGATGAAATCGAATGATCGACACCAAAATTTTGACAATTGGTCCTGTCTCTGCTTTTTGGCTCATGCAGAATCACCCCCTGGCTGCTTCAGAATGGCTTTCATAGTGCATGTCCAATAATGTCCTTAAAACAACCTTAAACGTTCTTTTTTTAAAATATGCTACTCACCGGGTCGTCAGCGCTGTTCAATGAGGTTCCAAAAAAAGTTTCGTAAAGAAAAAACGTCCCTGTAGTGTTTTATTTAGCATTTTGTAAATCCCATTGAGTTCTGTTGGAATGGTCAATATTCCCCTGCCACCTGAAACGGAAATGGGGCCTGTTTACACAGTTGTAGTCTTTTCGCTTCACTCTGTGTACTCCGACGTCGAGGTGCTGACGTCTCTGTTAAACACTTTAAAAAACTCTGAAAATGGAATACGAAAGATGGATTCTTGATTCTCGACGTCGGAGTACACAGAGTGAAGCGAAAAGACTACAACTGTGTAAACAGGCCCCATTTCTGTTTCCGGTGGCAGGGGAATATTGACTATTCCAACAGAACTCAATGGGATTTACAAAATGCTAAATAAAACACTACAGGAACGTTTTTTCTTTGCGAAACTTTTTTTGGAACGTCATTGAACAGCGCTGACGACCGGGTGAGTATCATATTTTAAAAAAAGAACGTTTAAGGTTGTTTTAAGGACATTATCGGACATGCACTATGAAAGCCATTCTGAAGCAGCCAGGGGGTGATTCTGCATGAGCCAAAAAGCAGACAGGACCAATTGTCAAAATTTTGGTGTCGATCATTCGATTTCTTCCTGGACACTACAGAAAATGGGCTAAAAGTGTTAAAAACCGGAATTCTCCTTTAACTCACAGAGCTCAGAGTACTAAGTTAAATGTTCTCTTTTCTGTTGCTGTTGTCAAATAAAAGTACGTTTTAAGATCATTTGAGGCGAGAACCTTACACTTTTAAGCATCACCATATGGCCCCATTCACAGATTTAATGCGTAATTTAAAAGAAAATGTGACGAACTTGAGAGGACCGTGGCAACCAGCGGAGCTCCGAAGCTGACGGCAGCCAGGTCTATAGCCAGGCTATGATGGCGATTTTTTGTTGTATTTGGCAAAGTTTGGCAAAGTCCCTACTCAAGTTCTAATGACTTCAGACTCGACATCAGACTCTCCTCCTGTAGATTCGACCGATGTTGTAAAATGCTAACCAACACGCTTCACACACAGCTATGCCGAGAGAAGGCCGCTGCAGATGGGCTGTGGTCGGACCTGGCTGCCGTCAGCTTCGGAGCTCCGCTGGTGCCGCGGTCCTCTCAATTTCGTCACATTTTCTTTTAAATTACGCATTAAATCTGTGAATGGGCCATATGGTGATGCTTAAAAGTATAAGGTTCTCGCCTCAAATGATCTTAAAACGTACTTTTATTGAACAACAGCAACAGAAAAGAGAACATTTAACTTAGTACTCTGAGCTCTGTGAGTTAAGAAGATGGACAGCCAAGCCAACCAATGAGCAGAAGTTGACTCTCTAGGACACACCCCCTCCTCATTTGCATAATGAGATAGAAATGCATACAGAAATGTAAAAAGGGCAGAGAGAAATGTAAAAAGGGCAGAGAGAAATGTAAAAAGGGCATAGAGAAATGTAAAAAGGGCATAGAGAAATGTAAAAAGGCAGAGTGAAATAAACAGCGGCGAAGAAATAACTAAGGTAAAAAAATACAAAGGAAGAATAAAACAGACAAAAATATAATAACATGCACATAAATAAATACTTAAAAATATAAGTAATTAAAAAATAAAGTTGAAGATTATAAAGGACAGAAAAATAAATAAGGTAAATATTACAAAGGCAAATAAATAAAGAAGCTAATTAAGAGTTATATACATTTATGTCTCACTTTTTTGTTGGCAATTAATTGTATGCTTATACATTTATTGAGCATTTATTTATTTCTGTATTTATTTTTAAATATGGCAGAGTTGGTCCTTCATACAGTAGCTCCTCTGCAATACAAAAGTATAGCACGGCATAGGACACACCTCTTGTGTGAGGCAGGGACTCTCATCACAGTCGCAGTCGAACTGATTGACAGGTCGAGTCGGAGAAGTAAATCCTTTAAAGCAAACTTACGAAGAGAAGCTGGAGGTGTAAGAGATTGAGGGTGACGAACATAAAATTTAATTGGCAGTCCAAAGACAGATGGAGACGGTATACTCATTCTAAGAAAATAAATAGTTTTTATATATATAAAAAAATATAAAGCTGACTAATAGCTTCTTCATTATTAAACTGGTATATTATTCTTTTAGGTTTGTGACCATGCAAAACATAGATTTGCCTTCACAAAGCCTCAGAAGGGCAAGATTTATGTATAAAAAGTAAACCTGTACATGAAATTATGTTTTGTTTTTAAAAAGTCTTTTTATAGTGTTTTTTGTTGGCATTCATATCATTATACTGGTGTGATAACTTAGTATACGTTTGATTGGTGTTTGGTATGCATCTACTTTGAATTTATAGGCCCCGCTGGAGAATACACCACCATCCGCCACTGATCATGACCTAGGCAGAGCTTCAAACCACAAATGTAAGTCCAATACTGCTACACAAAACATTACAAACTGCAGGAGAAGAATGCGTGTCTTCAGTATTTTTACACATGCATCTAATTCAGAAACGCTAATGTATTCAGCTGGCAATCCCAGTCTGTGGGCGGCTCAAGCCAAGATATACATAGACGCCTCTGAAACGTACTTGAGGGAAAAGAGGCAGAGATATCCAAACAACCCAAGAGCGAGTGCTCCTCACTGGAACAAATGCACATGCTGCAGATTTACTGTCCTCTGTTTGTCACAACGCCTCTCCAGGCTGGGCACTTATTTTCACCGTAGCACTGACAAGAATAAAACAAGAACACCCAGAGAATGCTCTCCAGCAACAAAATGGTAAATAATACTTGCTTTGACATGTTGCAAGAATAGTCCATTAGTATTTACTTGCTTTCCTTTTAGATGTTTTGAAACTGCTTTCCTTTAATCTGTCTAAAATAGTAGGCATCATTTAGTGAGCTTAAATAAAAAATGTTTTGGCTGTTTAATAATTATTTATTTTGGCTCACCACATCACAAACCTCCTCAAACTATTAAAAAAGATTATGTCAAAAGTATAACCCAAACCTGACAGTCCTGTAAAAATTATAAAGTAGCTGAGCTTATGGGTTGCTGTAGCAGAAAGATGTCAGCGGCCTAATGAGGGAAGTGGAAGCAGCAAGGACCCTGAAGTGTTGTTTGGCTTACCTGTCTCCAGTTGTCATAGATAATGATGGTGCTCTCCTCATCATCCACAGTGACTGTGCGCACATAACCCTCCCCTAAGGATAAAGGACATCAGCAGTTAGCTCTTAGGTAAGACAAACTGTTATTTATTCACTCTCTCTGCAGTGACACTGAACAAGACACCCTCCTTCTATATCAGTACTGTCATATCCTTGTACCATCAGAATCCACTGACGCAGTACGGTCCATGTCGCCAGTGATGGCAACAAGGAGTGATGACTTCCCAACTCCATTCTGACCCAACAGGGCGATCCGCAATGGCCCGTCATGCCTGCCCTCTACAGAGACAATGGGAGTGTCATCCAGGGCTGGGCTGAAGCTGAGCGGTGAATGAGAAGGTCCAGCTGCTCCGGATGTCCAGTCACCTTCATCATGAACAGCTTCTTCCCGTCGAAGTTGGTGCTTTATTGGCAGAGGAGTACTTCCTCTGCGGACAGTGGGGGTGCTGGGTAGAGTCATGCTGTCACACTGAACAGATAAACAGGTTGTGTCAACATGTAACAAAATCACAAAAAAGTCTTTTCTCAACTTGTTCTAGTATGTGAATATGCCTTTTTTAATGGCATATGGTCTTGCAAAAGAAAAAGATAAAAAAAAAATAAACAGAAAAAAAAATCTATTCGACTTGAACGTGTAATTAAAAAAGATAAATGCTTTTCATCAGAGTCCTCCATGTTGCATGTAAAAACAATGCCAACTGGAGATAAATGTCCTACAATTCAATATGTAGTTTTTTTCAGTTTAAATAGTGCCACATTTGTGAGAAAAACACAATAGTGGTTGGACCAGAAGTGCCAAACTGCATGTGATACTACTGGCTATTGTTGGGTGTTATTTATTGGATTGGATGATGGGAGCTTGAATAAACAAGAAACGTTATCAGTAAAGCACTATAATTGTTAAAAGCCCCTGCATCTGATGTTGTTTTGATCTCTCAAATGCTTTTTAAGTTGTTTATCGAGTGGCAGAAGAGGTTATTTTATTAAAATAAATCACTTGTATATTGCACATATGCAGGAATTCAGGCTTTTTTACTGTAGGCTTCTAACTTTGCCGTGACAGTTTTCTCTGCCAGTGGGTTTCATTCTGTAGGTCTCCAATCAGCCACTGGAGCCTTTTTCGCACTGATATTAGTGGGTTAATGCAGGATTTTCCGACACGGGTCGACCTGCCAACAATCAGCTTATGGCTCCCTTCTCATTAGCAAAAAAAGCTGGGTCTGCCCATTGGTGGCATGCTGCATGGCCTCTGTCCCCCCCACTGCTGCGTGTCTGTTGACGCCATTATGCTGGATTAGCGTGGATAATGTCAGCAGTGCGACAGAAATCAGGAAAGTAAACAATGGAGAGCAACAAGTAAGGGAAAGCAACAAGTAAGGACGCCATCACATACAGTAGTCAGTGTGCTTTATAGTTTCATTTGTCCCTCCGAATCAAGCTCATTAGTGCTGTGCCATGTTTACCGAATGCAAGCAGTTGTTTTGGCTCGTTAGATCAAACTTCTGCACGTTGCGCTATATGGTATGGCATAAATTAGCAGGTTGACATGGGTCCAATATTGCCATTGTATACCGATCAGAGCCAAGTCTTTGAAGGTGATTTTAACCCGGTCTCTTGCTAACTAATTTGACACGGGTTGACACCGGCCAGTGAGCAGTCCTTACTGTCACTAAAAGCAGATTGTTCGCAGGTTTAAAAGTTTTTTTAGCCAGTGGGAAAGGGGTGTTTTCTCAAAGCAGTTACACCACATGTCTTTTGAGCGGAGAAGCGTGATTGCCAATGCAGGGAAAGTTGCTATCCCTCTGCTGGCTGTCACTGCATATAAAGCAAAAAAGCCTAAAAGCGTCAAAATGTTGAAGGTTTGTGTTGGTCACTAGGGCAGAAAAAATACTCCAGATAAAACAAAATAATAATTTAATGTGTACAAATAGCTCAAGCTCATATAGCAAACCCCATGTTGTGCATATCACTAAAAGAAAGTTACATGACCAATACAAGAGCTGTTTTGAACTGACTCTGATGGGCCAAACTGTGTTTATACTGTCTACGGGATGTATCTGCAAAAAGAAGCCCTGATCTTTTTTGGTTCATCTTCATATCAATGAAGAATAATGAAGCAGCCTCTAGGCCAAAAGAAAGGGTTCTACCATGTTGGACTAGTTGGATCTCATATTGAAAAATAAGGTATTTGTTTTCATTTCTTTGTTGTGTCATCCTGTTTTCAAGTTTACTCTTGGTTTACTAATCTTTAATACTATTTTTTCTTTTCTTTTTTTTTTTGCTCTACAAGCATCCTCATTCACATTGTTACTAACATTTACCAGCTATGGTTCATGTATCATTGTTTATTGACTGCACTGGACAATATCAAAGATGTTTCAAATATAAATGGCAACATTAAATAAAACATACAATGACTTAAATTAAATAATTGTTTATACTAGGTCAGTGCCAGTTGTCTGTCAAATAGGCTGCCCGAAGGATGTCAGTACAAAAATATACACTCACCGGCCACTTTATTAGGTACACCTGTCCAACTGCTCGTTAACACTTAATTTCTAAGAAGCCAATCACATGACGGCAACTCAGTGCATTTAGGCATGTAGATATGGTCAAGACAATCTCCTGCAGTTCAAAGCGAGCATCAGTATGGGGAAGAAAGGTGATTTGAGTGACTTTGAACGTGGCATGATTGTTGGTGCCAGAAGGGCTGGTCTGAGTATTTCAGAAACTGCTGATCTACTGGGATTTTCACGCACAACAATCTCTAGGGTTTACAGAGAATGGTCCGAAAAAGAAAAAACATCCAGTGAGCGGCAGTTCTGTGGGCGGAAATGCCTTGTTGATGCCAGAGGTCAGAGGAGAGTGGCCAGACTGGTTCGAGCTGATAGAAGGGCAACAGTGACTCAAATAACCACCCGTTACAACCAAGGTGGGCAGAAGAGCATCTCTGAACGCACAGTACGTCAAACTTTGAGGCAGATGGGCTACAGCAGCAGAAGACCACACCGGGTGCCACTCCTTTCAGCTAAGAACAGGAAACTGAGGCTACAATTTGCACAAGCTCATCGAAATTGGACAATAGAAGATTGGAAAAACGTTGCCTCGTCTGATGAGTCTCGATTTCTGCTGCGACATTCGGATGGTAGGGTCAGAATTCGGCGTCTACAACATGAAAGCATGGATCCATCCTGCCTTGTATCAACGGTTGAGGCTGGTGGTGGTGGTGTCATGGTGTGGGGAATATTTTCTTGGCACTCTTTGGGCCCCTTGGTACCAATTGAGCATCATTGCAACGCCACAGCCTACCTGAGTATTGTTGCTGACCATGTCCATCCCTTTATGACCACAATGTACCCAACTTCTGATGGCTACTTTCAGCAGGATAATGCGCCATGTCATAAAGCTGGAATCATCTCAGACTGGTTTCTTGAACATGACAATGATTTCACTGTACTCAAATGGCCTCCAGTCACTAGATCTCAATCCAATAGAGCATCTTTGGTATATGGTGGAATGGGAGATTCGCATCATGGATGTGCAGCCGACAAATCTGCGGCAACTGTGTGATGCCATCATGTCAATATGGACCAAACTCCCTGAGGAATGCTTCCAGCACCTTGTTGAATCTATGCCACGAAGAACTGAGGCAGTCCTGAAGGCAAAAGGGGGTCCAACCCGTTACTAGCATGAGGTACCTAATAAAGTGGCCAGTGAGTGTACACTACAGACCTTTTGTCTGTACAAAATGCCAATTACAAGTAAACCGACTAACATTTACTTTAACCTCTAAAATGACAGGTTCAGAGCTTTGTTGTTTGTGTGTTTTTTTTATGAAGCCACCTTGAAGCAACTGCTAACAGAAACGTCATGATTTCTTTCACAAGCTAATATAAGAGAAGATTGATAAATAAGTGACTCAATACAAGTTTTGTTTTTTAACCAATATGAATAATAAACAAAACTTTCCTGCACTGATATTCTTAGTATTCATTTGCAACACATGTAACTGACCTTGAATCTGTATATGATTATATTAAATTGACTATCCTCTTCTGTAAATAAACAGAATCTGACTGTCTTGAGAGTACTTTTGTGGTGAATCAACTTCATACATAAACTGCACTGACCTGAGCTGTTGTTGTCCTAATTTCTTACCTTTACACTCCAACCAGTTATTATTTAATAGTTATTTAATATTTTTTTCTAAAGAACTAACTTATTTTTGAATACAGCTCTTTAAAAACCTTTTAACAAGCAATAACCTTTTAAATAGCAATTCAGCATCTACACCCATTTTCCATAGTTGTTATCGAACATTATTGTGCTTTTTTTATTCTGCCAAATACTGTTACACGACTAGTCAACCAGTCGCTAACCTATTGCCATTTGGTGAATATAAACCTATGGTAAATTACATACCATTTAATCAATTTTTTTTTAATGTAACATATATAATGCTTTAAAAATGCAACTGTTTTTATAGAGCTGTTATCCAGCTCCAAACAGACAGTGTAAAATATTACAGTTAAATGATTGAATCCTATTAAATATATATTTATATCAACAAAACAGTTGCCCGCAGTGACATTTTAAGTTGATTGCTCACAAACTTTAATTTCTTATTCTAATCATACTAAAAAGTCACTAAAAGGCAATATTAAAAAAAAATCAGGTGCATCCACTCTCCACCTACATTAACACACATAAAGTAAAAAAAAAAAAAAAAAAAAAAAAAAACTTGCTTAACAGGGGCTGAGCAAGACATTATTATCATGGGCTTAGCCTAGAGATTATTTCATTATAAAGAAGGTGCTGTTCTAATTCTTGCCCCCGCATCTGACATCTTTCCCTAACTGTGCTACGACGCGAGGTTCAACCAGAACCACATGAAAAATATTATTGTTTATAAATGGAATTGTCCTGAGCTGTCAGAGGAAGCAGTATGGGCGCGTGCAGTTGTAACAAATGCAAGCATGTGTGCCGAGCTAAAACACAGAAAAGTGTGTGAACGCCCCTTTTTCCTCAGTTTTGCACATATTGTTACAGATGAGAATGGTTTTTCAACTCTAATAAAAATAACGAAAGACCACTTTGTTAAAAGCCCTCAAAGCAAACCCCTGCTCCACCACAGCATAGTCTGCGTGACTTTCAATAGTCAGTGCATGCAAGAAAACATAATAATCTAAACAGGGATTATTGGGGCTCTCAATGCCCCATGTTTTCCTACCTTGGAGGCATTCTCCTCGATACTGAGTCTATCTTCGGGCACATCTGTCGGCATCTGCAAGCTGAAATAAAGCGATCGGGGGTGAGGAGTCCAGAAGACACAGAGAAACACTAGGATTAACCCTCTCAACCCCAGCCCAGTCAGTTAATAAACCCAAGCCCCGCTGGCCCGGTCTGATTTCTCACCTCTCAGGTGTCTGTCGGCAACTAAGTAAGCGTGGTTTCTCTCTCTCTTGCTCCCCCTTTCTCTCTTCCCCTGGCGCCTTCTTTTTCTCTCTCTCTTCCTCCTCCCTTCCTCACTGTTCTCTCAGGTTATAGGGCCCAGGTCCAGCTCTGCAGGCAGCACCGTAATTCATCACTTCAGACTGACTGCTGTGTGACTCACACCTACTAAATGCTTTCCGGATCCAGACTTCCTGCTGAGAAGGAAAGATGAAAACTGGCCAACAAAAAAAGCTTTTATGCAGGTTTCTGCTGCAGATGTATGCAGTTAATTAATAGCAGACAGAAAAACAAAGCGGTGATGTAGCTTGACAAAAAGCAGGACTGTGGATAGATGGTCAGTATCACGAATCTCTCATTAAGCACTTATACTGGCAAATGAGGCGATACAGAACATGACCCCTAGAGGGCAATACAAGGCAAGCATTTTCCCTACTAATTGGTCACAGTGGAGAGTGAGCATGTAGGCTACTTGATGGATAGGCTAAGAAAACCAAATTATTGACATATATTTTTTGTAAAAGATAGTTAAAGTTATTACAGTTTTTCAAGCTCCCTGAACCGACCAATGATAATATTAGATTATGCAGACTGATTCCAGTTCATTTTTGCAACAGCCACATCATCACATCAGTCTCCTTCATACCCACACTGCCTGATCATCGTTGTGTTCTTTGCCTAACCCACTTTGTTGAAATATATAAAATTGAGACTTCACATAAATATTTTCAGGTCATAATTTGAGTTGCTTGCTATTAGCATTTTTTATTAACACATTATATATATATATATATATATATATATATATATATATATATATATATATATATATATATATATATATATATATATATATATATATATATATATATATATATATATATATATATATATATACACACACACACTACCATGAGAAAAGCACTGTACTTTTCAATGAAGATAACTCTAAACTAGTGTTAACTTTAAAGAAATACACTCTATACATTGCTAATGTGGTAAATGACTATTCTAGCTGCAAATGTCTGGTGTTTGGTGCAATATCTACATAGGTGTATAGAGGCCCATTTCCAGCAACCATCACTCCAGTGTTCTAATGGTACAATCTGTTTGCTCATTGGCTCAGAAGGCTAATTGATGATTAGAAAACCCTTGTGCAATCATGTTCACACATCTGAAAACAGTTTAGCTCATTCCTTTGAGCAGATTGAGTTTCTGGAGCATCACATTTGTGGGGTCAATAAAACGGTCAAAATGGCTAGAAAAAGAGGACTTTCAGAACTTTCTGAAACTCAGCAGTCTATTCTTGTTCTTAGAAATGAAGGCTATTCCATGCAAGAAATTGGTAAGAAATTGAAGATTTCCTACAACAGTGTGTACTACTCCCTTCAGAGGACAGCACAAACAGGCTCTATCCAGAGTAGAAAAAGAAGTTTGAGAAACAGACGCCTCAGAGGTCCCCAACTGGCATCAGAGGTCCCCAACTGGATTCTTCATTAAATAGTACCCGAAAAACACCAGTGTCAACATCTGCAGTGAAGAGGCGGCTGTGGGATTCTGGGCGTTAGGGTAGAGTGGCAAAGAAAAAGCCATATCTGAGAAAGGCCAATAAAAGAAAAAGATTAAGATGGGCAGAAGAACACAGACATTTGAGAGAGGAAGACTGGAAAAAAGTGTTGTGGACAGATGAATCCAAGTTTGAGGTGTTTGGATCACAAAGAAGAAGGTTTGTGAGACGCAGAAGAAATGAAAAGATGCTGCAAGAATGCCTGATGCCATCTGCTAAGCATGGTGGAGGTAATGTGATGGTCTGGGGTGTCATGATGTTACAAAGTTCAGACCCAAATGCAGAAAACTGAACAGAGAGACCAGGGAAAAGGTTTAACAGGTTTTATTGAAAAGGTTAAACAGAGGGAGAAGTGTTGCTCTGAACACTGCTCCACCGGAACTGTAAAGTGAGGGGAAGACACAGCGGTTAGTTCAGGCTCAGTGGGGAATTTGACTTGTGAACTTGGAGAAGAGGATTTGGTTGCCAACTCACGTTTCTAGAGAAGTTGTTGAATCCTTGACTCCTGTCTGTGTGCCGTGGTTCCAGTGTTTGTCTGATTCGGTGGAGGGCGGAACAGGGTTTACCCAGTGTTACGGCCATTGGCCTTTTCTGTGTTTGTGTTTATTTTTTTTCAGAGGCCTGATCAAATTGACTGCCCCTGGAAGCGGATGTTTTCCTGTGACACACCTTGGGGCCTACCGTGATTGGATCACAAATTATTGTTGAGGCCTCCATTTAAAACCAAAGGACTTCCTAGGGGAAGGTGCGGCTGATCCTTTGTTCAGACATCTTGCCATTTTGTGGGGTGTAGGTTTGTCTGCTGGCCCCTCAAACCTTGCAGAGAGACCTCAGGAGTTAGCACCAGAGGGCGACATGAAGGTGGTTGGTGGGATTCAGACTCCTATCACACTTCCTAGGTTTGATCGCCTCTCGGCGAGTATAAGGCCAGATTTCCAGTTCAAACAACCAGTGAGAGCCCTAGTAGTTCTGGTGGGCCCTCTATTAGACCCTTTGACATTACAAAGTATGTTTCTTTAGTACCTGAGTTTCGAGAGGCAGAGATTGATTCTTACCTCTCTGCTTTTGAGCTCATGGCACAGGCTTTGCAGTGGCCCCCTGATGTTTGGTCTTTGCTGCTTCAGTGCAGAATCCATGGTAAAGCTCAAGAGGTTGTAGCCGCCCTCCCTCTTTCAGACACCCTAAAGTATGATGTGGTTAAAGCTGCCATTTTGAAAGCTTATGAGCTTGTACCTGAGGCTTACCGGCAAAAATTTAGGTCTTTTAAGAAAAGCCCCTCACAGACCTATGTAGAGTTCGCCAGAGAAAAGGGAAGTCTCTTTGATCGTTGGCGTGCTTCAAATAAGGCGACAAATTTTGACACTCTGAGAGAACTTGTTCTATTGGAAGAGTTCAAAAATTGTCTACCTGAACGTGTTTTTGTTCACTTGAATGAACAAAAGGTAAACTCACTGTCTTCTGCTGCTGTGTTAGCTGATGAGTATGTGCTTACACATAAGTCTACCTTTCAGTCCGTGCTCAATAGAGGTGTGTCTATAAAATCAGCTGTTGAACCACCCAAGTCAACTCCTCAAAAGAATGACAAGGAGTGTTTCTATTGTCACAAAACAGGTCATCTCATTCCTAATTGTTTAGCCTTGAAACGAAAAGAACAGAACACACAGTCCAAACGAAAAGGTGTGGGGCTAATAAGGAACCAGTCTCCTACACCACGAAAGGCTGAACTTTGCTGTACTCCTGATCCGTGTTATGAACCTTTTTTGCTAACTGGATATGTTTCATTACCAGGAAAACTTGCAGATCCACATCCAGTTCGTATTTTGCGTGACACGGGTGCCTCCCAATCTATTATGTTAACTGATTCCCTACCGTTTTCTGAGTTGTCATCTTGTTGCTACAGTGTTGTTCTGCAAGGACTGGAAATGGGTTATGTCCCCCGGCCTGTACACTTGGTGCAGTTACAATCAGAACTGATTTCTGGTATTTTCCCCATTGCTGTTTGTTCTGAGCTTCCAGTTAAAGGTATTTCCCTTTTACTTGGTAATGATATTGCAGGTGGTAAAGTAACACCTTCCCTGGAAATATTAGACGTCCCCTGCTCCCGTCCTAAGGACGACGATGCAACACAGACTACTGCCTCTACTTCCTGTGTGCTCACCAGGGTTCAAAAATTTAAGGGAACCTCAGAAGAAAATGTAGACTTGTCTGACAGTGTGCTTATGTAAATCTTTTCAGAGGAGGAAAAAGTACCAGCTACAACACAGTTGCCCGAAGTCCCCCAGCTGAAACCTGGTTTGGGAAAAGCTGATTTCGGTTCTTCTCCCATCTCCCTATCCCAGCTTTCTGCCGCTCAGAAGGTGGATCCAGCTCTAAAAAGGTGCTTCTCATGTGTTGTAAGTGCTGACAAAGCTAGAGCTGAATAAGTAGCATTTTATGTAAATGATGGAGTATTGATGAGAAAATGGTGCCCTGTTGTCCTCCCTGATGCTGACTGGAATGTGGTACATCAAATTGTAATTCCATCAAGTTACCGCAAACACATTTTGGCCTTGGCAGATGAAGGAAGCTGTGCAGGACATCTGGGGGTAACAAAAACTTATCAGAATGTTCTGAAACATTTTTACTGGCCCGGATTAAAAACAGATGTATGGCAGTATTGTCGCAGCTGTCATACCTGTCAGGTAACTGGTAAACCCAACCAAGTTATCCCTCATGCTCCTCTCCATCCTATTTCTGTGGTTGGAGAACCTTTTGAGCGAATTATCATGGACTGTGTTGGGCCTCTTCCGCGCACAAAATCTAGTAATCAGTTCCTGCTAATCAGTTCCTGCTCACCTTAATGTGCGCCTCAACTCGTTACCCAGAAGCAATCCCACTGCGTAAGATCACTTCCAGCTCAGTAATAAAAGCGATGACAAAGTTTTTTTCCACCTTCGGCCTTCCTAGAGTAATTCAAACTGATCAAGGCACAAACTTTCAGTCTAAGCTTTTTAAGCAAGTCCTTAAGGAACTGAACATACAGTCTCCATTGCCTATCATCCTGAATCTCAAGGAGCTTTAGAGCGTTGGCATCAGACGTTAAAGTCTATGCTACGAAAATATTGTACAGAAACAGAAAAGGACTGGGATGAAGGGTTCCCTTTTGTTTGCCGCTCGGGAGGCTATTCAAGAGTCTCTAAGATTCAGCCCAGCTGAGTTGGTGTTTGGCCATACGCTCCGTAGCCCTCTGAAAATCCTCAAAGAGAAAATCTTGGAGATAAATGTTTCTCCTGAGGAGAACATTTTGGACTATGTCTGCAAGTTCAGAGAAAGACTGCATCAGTCTTGTGCTTTTGCAAAAGAAACATTAGGGGAGTCTCAAAGGTCCATGAAGAAGCATTCCAGCAACCAGTCTGCCCTGTCTCGTTCTTTTGCCAAGGGGGAAAAAGTCCTGGCTTTACTACCTGTTCCTGGTTCTACTCTTTCACCAAGTTTTCAGGACCTTATGTGGTTCAGGAGAAGTTGAGTGAGACAGATTATGTAATCAGCACTCCTAAAAGAAGGAGAAAATCTCGGGTCTTTCACATAAATATGTTAAAGCCGTACTGTTCTCGAGACCCAAATGGTAATCCTGACCGTCAAACAGGTCAACCCTTACCTTCAACTTGCTCCTCAGCATTGATTGTAAGGGAGTGTTTTGACTCTGCTGTAGAGGATGGTTTAACATTGCGTTCCATTTCTTACCAAAGCTCACGATTGTCAAACTCTGAAATGTTGAAGGTCCTA